CTTTTGCTTTCGAAAACCAGAATAACCTCACCGGCTTTGGGCAGCTTGCCTTGAGCAGGGCAGGGTTTGCTGCTCCACTTGAGGCAGGAAAACAGCTTGACCTGGCCTTGGATGCCCTTGTTTCCTCCTGCAGTGGATTTCATTCCAGTCCCATATTTTGTGGTGCTTTATATGTGTGCATTCATGGTGAACATGTCTGGAAGAATCTGAATGCATTGGGAGTAGTGGCTGCAGGTTCACATTGTTTGTACAATGCATTTGTGCAAAGCATTGACACCTTACTCCACTCACATCAGAGAACTGCTTGGAGCTTTGCATTGTTTACCTATGGAACTGGATTATCTCTTCCTTCTGTATATTTGTTATTTTATTGCATTTGGATGCCGCCTTTCTCCCAGGGTGGCACCCAAAACAATGTAAAATATTTGCAATACAATTTTTAAACCATTAGAAGTACATAAACATTACGAAATATGGGTTGCTGAGAGTTTTCCTGGAGAACAAGCCCTCTGAGGAGCGGCTTAAGGAGCTGGGCATGTTTAACCTGAAGAAGAGAAGGCTGAGAGGGGATATGATAGCCATGTATAAATATGTGAGAGGAAGTCACAGGGAGGAGGGAGCAAGCTTGTTTACTGCTTCCATGGAGATTGGACGCGGAACAATGGCTTCAAACTACAAGAAAGGAGATTCCATCTGAATATGAGGAAGAACTTCCTGACTGTGAGAGCTGTTCAGCAGTGGAACTCTCTGCCCCGGAGTGTGGTGGAGGCTCCTTCTTTGGAAGCTTTTAAACAGAGGCTGGATGGCCATCTGTCAGGGGTGATTTGAATGCAATATTCTTGCTTCTTGGCAGAATGGGGTTGGACTGGATGGCCCATGAGGTCTCTTCCAACTCTTTGATTCTATGATTGTATATCCAGAAGCATTCTCTCCTGACATTTCACCCACATCTATGGCAGGCATCCTCAGAGATTGTGAGGTCTGTTGGAAACTAGGTAAGTGAGGTTTATATATCTGTGGAATATCCAGAGCCAGCTAACACCTCCCAGCAAAGGATTCCCCCAGGCAGGAAGCAGCTAGGCTTGGAAGCTGCAAGGCCATTCAGTGCTAACCAAGGTGGCCAATTGCAACATTCATACCTAAAACTCTAAAATCATAACAGTAAATAAGGAAAAAAAAAACGGGAGAATTCCAGACAAGAAACAGTTAGGGCCAGCTAATTACCTCCCAACAAAGGATTCCCCCAGGCAGCAAGAAGCCAGACCTTGAAACTGCTAGGCCATTAAATCCTACTCAAGGTGGCAAATTGCAACATTAACATTTCTTTCTCCCACCCTGGACATTATTCCACAAATATACAAACCCCACTTGCCTAGTTTCCAACAGACCTCACAACTTCTGAGGATGCCTGCCATAGATGTGGGCGAAATGTCTGGAGAGAATGCTTCTGGAGCCCAGAAAACTCACAGCAACCCAGTGATTCCGGCCATGAAAGCCTTCGACGATACATTATAAAATATGTTTGAAACATACACCGTTTTTTTTAAAAAAAACAAAACATATTTATGTATGTATGTTTATACACAGGTAGATTGTACACCTTTGAGCTGTTTTTGGTTGTTTTGCTTGTAAATCACCATGTAATTGATGGTGCTGTATAAATAAGTGATGATAGTTATAAAAATATAATATTCACAGATAGAGTGATGGCTACTTACTTGGATGCCTTTAAATCGATTAGATAAATAAATAGTTGCCTATTAGATTAAATATTAGATTGAAGCTTTTGAGAGTTGAGTTCAGCGATAATATAAAGATGGCTATATATCACCTTCCGAATCGGAGACAGTTTGCCTTTTTGTATAAGTTGTGAGTGAGCACAAGGCTCACGTTGTATTCGTGGGTTACTTGCACACTTCTTTAGCTGGTTAAACCTCATTCTTTGGCTGAGGCAGGTGGGGCACCGGGTCAGTTCTTTCCTGGGCCATCTCTCTCTTTATCTGCTCTGACTGGTTTGCAGCCTTCTTCTTTTGCTCTCTGGCAAAGATTTTGCAGCCTGGTCAAATCTGAATAATATGCCATTGTTAGGTATGAAGTTTGCAAAGATCTTGGTGAGTTTTTAAGAATACAGCTTAAATTTGCTTTTAAAATTTTGCCTATAGTGTTTGTATAGTGTTTAAGACAAACCACTCGGAAAGCATATTATATCAACTGGGATATAAAAACTTTTCGTAAATAGTATTAAGTAGATATTGAGTTGCTGTGAGTTTTTGGGGCTGAATGGCCATGTTCCAGTAGCATTCTTTACTTATGTTTCACATGCATCTGTGGCTGGTATCCTCAGAGATCTATTGGAAATTAGGCAAGTGGAGGTTGTTCAGAGATCTATTGGAAATTAGGCAAGTGGAGTCATCTATCTATCTATCTATCTATCTATCTATCTATCTATCTATCTATCCATCCATCCATCCATCCATCCATCCATCCATCCATCCATCCATCCATCCTGGCACGATTTGAATTCCTTTTCTTGCACTGCTAGTTTGCATGAATCTATTTAAGCCATGCATTTTGCAATAAGGTAGCTTCCCTCAGGTTGCAATCATAGGGCCAACAACTTGGCAATCATCGTTAGAATCTTTAGACCCGCCCCTTTTCCCAGGGTTTTGGAGGGAAAGGAGGATTTTGTTCAGTCTCACTGTTGGAAGCCTAACAGAAGGATGTGTGGGATTCTCTTTCCCATCTGCACAAAAGCTTCACTTCTCACAGCGTTTGCTGGGGGTTAAAGAAATAGTTCCTGCCGCCTTCGTGGAGAAACTAAAGGACACCTTTCAGCTTGGCAGATCTACAGGAACCTTGCCTGATAAGGGACCACTCGGGCTATCCATAAAGCAGCTTGGAGCCGGAAGTAGTGGCCTCATGCCAACAAGGTAAAGAGAGATTGCCCAGGGAGGAAGAAAGGAACAGTTTACCACCAGTTGCCTGCCCCTTGTTGGCAGATTGAGGAAGCTACTGGTTTTCCAAGGTTATAAAATGTTTAATTCATTTGTTTGAAGATTTAAGCCCATATAAAGAACTTTGTTGAACTTATATTGAGCCTCAATAGAACTTTGTGTTGGGAAATCTAAAGGGCCCTTCAGCTGAGGCACCCCGGCGTCCCGTTGGGCATACAGAGAGCACATCCTATAAACAGACATTATTTCAGGCCCAGCATGCGACAGCACACTGTCTGTCTGTCCTATCTATCTATCTATCTATCTATCTATCTATCTATCTATCTATCTATCTTTCTATCTTTCTATCTTTCTATCTTTCTATCTTTCTATCTATCTATCTATCTATCTATCTATCTATCTATCTATCTATCTATCTATCTACGAGGGTTGAAAAAAAAGTAATGCCTTCACCTTCGTAACTCCTCAACAGATGGCAGTACTGGTATGCGGCAGGTACTGGCTTGTTCAGTAGACTCTCCTCTACAGTTCCATTTTGGCAGGAAGCCTTAGCATTGAACCATTGTGTTGTTAAAGTGTGAAGTATGGAACCCTGCACAGACGGTCAGTCAATGTGACTTAAGCAATGTGCAGTCATTGAATTTTTGACAGCAGAAGGTGTCACCTCAGCACCTTTAAACTTACTCGTCCAACAATGCACAGTACTCACATCAACACAATCACCATAAACAGCTTGCATTCTCTGATTAATCTCCTTTGGGGAGACACCTTCTGCTGTCAAGAATTCAATGACTGCACGTTGCTTAAGTCGCATTGACCGACCGTCTGTGCAGGGCTCCATACTTCGCACATTAACAGCACAACCGTTCAATGCTAAGGCTTCCCACCAAAATGGAATTGTAGAGAAGAGTCTACTGAACAAGTCAGTACCTGCTGCATACCAGTACTGCTATCTGTTGAGGAGTTACGAAGGTGGAGGCATTACTTTTCATTCAACCCTCGTATCTATCTATCTATCTATCTATCTATCTATCTATCTATCTATCTATCTATCTATCTATCTATCTATCTATGGAATGTCCAGGGTTGGGGAAAGAACTCTTGTCTGTTTGAAGCAAGTGTAAATATTGCAATTGGCAAACTTGATTAGCATTGAGTAGTCAGCCACTCAGAAACAGGGGAATTCCAGACAGCAAACTATCAGGTGCCAGTTAACATCTCCGAAGCAAAGGACCCTCCAGGCCACAACAGCCCAGCTACTTCTATCCAGATACTCTCACTGATTGACTTTGCAGCTTCATGGCTACTCAATGTTATTCAAGCCTGCTAATTTCACACTTTCTTCAGTCAAGAGTTCTTTCTCCCACCCTGGACATTCCACCAACAGACAGACAGACACACACACACACACACACACATACATACATCGGTCTGAGTCCCTCTGCAGCGGTAGAGAAGATCGGGATATAAAAGTTTTAAATAATAATAAACAATAATAATACATACATACAAATACACACACAGACCCCACTTGCCTCATTTCCAACAGACTTCTGAACAAACCTCTGAGGACACTTGCCACAGATGCAGGAGAAACGTCAGGAGAGAATGCTGTTCGAACATGGCCATACAGCCCAAAAAACTCACAGCAACACAACTAGGTGCACATTGAAAAGATACTGATTTAAGATACTGGGTTTAAGTGTGCTTGGTTTCTCTTCCAATTCTAGGGTTCTATGATTCTATTTTGTTGAATCACACATTCTGACAACTCCAGCCAGCATTCTCACACAATGTATGTGCATGACATCCATGCAAAGGAATGCCTCTTCCTGACTTTTAATTTGAAATCCAGGTATTGCAGTGCTATGGTTCTCTGGGTGCTCCTCGAGCTTAGCAAACACTTGAATCTTGTCAGGGTGGAACACGATGCAAGTCTTCTGAGCGTCAGCTTTTATGTCACTTGTACTTCCGTTCGGTGTAAAAATGCTTGACATTTCTTCAAATGACATTTGTTTGTGTCTAAACTCTATTTGTTTTTAATAGCTGGGAGAAGCCGCTTCTCCTCCCAAAGAAGGGGGCCGGTTCCTAGCAAAACGGGGCACGATGGAGGCCGTTGACCTGTCCTTCCTTTTGGAAGCCGAGCGGGATCTCATCCTCCAGGTCCTGCAGCGGGATGAGGAACTGCGGAAAGCGGAAGAGAGGAGAGTCAGGTGGGAATGCCAGGAGGTGCTCTGTGTACTTGCCAAGGCTATGAAGCCATTCAAAGGAAAGCTAATCATGTCTTAGAGAAGTCTTGGGTGTCTTTAGTGTTTTAGATGCCGTCAACTCTTAACTGGCGTAGCAAATGTTGAAGCTCAAAAGCAACTGTGGTCAACCCTCAACATTTGCTGGGGTGAAGGCTGTAGATGGGTTAACTGGAGAGATTACATTTTCTCACAATGCCATTCAAAGTGATGGTTTGTGGATGGGTGTGCCGTCACCTGCCAATCCCTGTAGAATTGTGAAGGAAGGAAGAGAAAGTTGTGGTTGTGGCCACAAAGGTGGTGCCAGTCCCTGGTACTTTGGGGAAGACATCCCTGCAGGTTTGCCACATCAACTAGCTTCTTCATTTTCCCCACTCACAACTCCTTTCCTTTTGAGAAATGTTTGCATGATTCCCAGGTATATAGGCAAATAAAATAGGCGTAAAAGTCAAACATGTACTGATAATAAATCAGTATTTTTCAAAGCTTGAATTTTCATATTGTGGAATATATATCTGAAGCATCTTCTGCAGAGAGGAGTCCCCGGTGGCACAATGGGTTAAACCCTTGTGCCAGCAGGACTGCTGACCGACAGATTGGTGGTTCGAATCTAGGGAGCGGGATGAGCTTCTGTCTGTCAGCTCCATGACATGAGAGAACCCGCCCACAGGATGGTAAAACATCCAAGTGTCCCCTGGGCAACCTCCTTGCAGATGGCCAATTCTCTCACATCAGAAGCGACTTGCAGTTTCTCAAGTTGATCCTGATATGGAAAAAAATATTCTGTAGAGTCTACTATAAAGTCTGCACATGTTGCTAACAGATTAGTGTAGATCGGTGGTATTCAGAATCCATTTGAGGTTGGAATCCACAGTTTAAGCAGCATTGCTTTAGAGGACAAAGTAATCAGCATCTAGAACTAGGATTCCTCCCTTCCTCGAATTAGGATCTCCCAGACATAATTCCCTAGAATCTACAGTCTTGATTTTATGCAACTGTAGGATATCCAGAGGCAGCCCTAGGTAATTTTCAACGGTAAGCAAACAGTATTTTGCCCCCCCACCCCACCAATCACTGATATATATTTTCTGTTCATCATGGGAGTTCTGTGTGCCATATTTGGTTCAATTCCATCATTGGTGGAGTTCGGAATGCTCTTTGATTTTAAGTGAACTATACATCCCAGTAACTACAACTCTCATATATCAAAGTCTATTTTCTCCCAAGAGCGCCTCAAGAGCACCTCTGGGCAAAATCAACTATACTGCAATTGCTTACTTTGTGTAATGGGTTGAGCTGCCCCTGAGGATATTAGGAGTTGTCCTGAAATTTCCAGTCCTGGCCTTTGGAGCGGGTGCCACGTAGGCATTCTGTGCCACCTTCCCATAAGGGCTGCCCTTTATGATTTTTCCCCTTGCAACAGGCGCCTGAAGAATGAGCTGCTGGAGATCCGCAGGAAGGGAGCCAAGCGCGGCAGCCAGCGCTACAGTGAGCGGACGTGCGCCCGTTGCCAGACCAGCATGGGCCGGATCAGCCCCAAAGCCAACACATGCCGCAGCTGCAACCACCTGGTGTGCCGTGACTGCCGCTCCTATGGCGCCAACAGCTCTTGGCGCTGCAAAGTCTGCACTAAAGAAGCGTGAGTATGGTGGCCTGGCTTGGTCCTCCCTACCGCCTTCCTTTCCCAAGTCTTGATCCCAAAGTGTTGCCTCCAGCTCTGATCTGGGATTGTGGAGTCCCTGGTGGCATAATGGGTTAAACCCTTTGGACTGCTGACTGAAAGATTGGTGGTACAAATCCAAGGAGTGGAGTGAGGTCCCATATGTCAGCTCCAGCTTTTCATGCGGGGATATGAGAGAAACCTCCCACTGGATGATAAAACATCCGGGCATGCCCTGGGCCAAGTCTCTCACACCAGAAGCGACTTGCAGTGTCTCTCCTGACACAAAAAGAAAAAAAAAAATCGGGGATTGAGAGGGTTTTTAGTCAACAACATTGGAAGTTATGGAACTACTGATTTAAAAACAAACATTGAGGATTTTAGTCCTTGGGGTTTTCATGTCCTTCATGTTCAAAAGAGTGGAAATGGTGAACCTCCCTGTCTGAAAACCAGGAATGACTGGTTTCAGATTCAATAATGCACTTTATATAGGCTGTCCCCAAGTTACAAATGATTCCTAGTTAAAAACAAGGCTGAGACAATTGGAAGTGAAAGAAATTTCCCTCAGAAGGGAAATTCACTCCTGGAAGAGTTATTATAATGGGGAAAAGGGGTCTCCACTGACATTTTCTCTCCGCAGGTACATTCCATAACAAGCCACATTTTTCAAAATCCAATGATCCCAGGGACAGAAAGTGAGGCGAAACCTTCTGAACAGGGGCACAGACAGCAAAGGGGTGGTAACCCTTCCTTATGTGATCCAATGTTAAATAAAAATATTTTGGCTGGTGTTACACTTAAAAAATGTACCTGTTCCCAACTTACAAACAAATTCAACTTAAGAATAAACCTACAGAAATTCTCTTGTTCGTAACTTGGGGACTGCCTGTATTAGCTAATAAAATTGGGTTATATAAAGCACATTAGAATATAAAATTAATGTTTTTAAAAATGAAATTCTCATTTTCTCCCTTCCTGCAGAGAGCTGAAGAAATCGACTGGCGACTGGTTCTATGACCAACGGGTGAATCGTTTTTCTAACAAGATGGGCAGCGACATCATTCGAATGTCTCTCCGGCGCAAACCACTAGGTAGGATGAATTATTATTATTATTATTATTATTATTATTATTATTATTATTATTAAACTTTATTTGTACCCCGCTAGCATCTCCCGAAGGACTCGATGCGGCTTACAAATCTGCTGTGGAGGACAGCTATGGCTATTGATCCTCATGCAGGATATGTATATTTGATATTATAAGTCATATTTGACAGTAAGAAAGTCACTTATCATTCTTGAGTCTCTTTGAAGTTGGTAGCAAGTTACCACCTGGTGTAAGAGCCCCAGACATCTGGAATGCACTAGGTTAGGAATGGTCATTCTTGATTGCATGTCATTGCATGTTCTGGGGGATTTCTCAAGCTGTCACGGAAGTGGGTTGCTGTTGGTTTTTTGGGCTGCATGGCCATGCTCCAGTAGCATTCCCTCCTGATGTTTCTCCTGCCATCTTCAGAGAACCTTAGAATGCTTGCCACAGATGAAGGTGAAATAATAATAATAATAATAATAATAATAATAATAATAATAATAATATGTTGTTTAACATCTACATGAAGCCGCTGGGGGAGATCATCCGGAGTTTCGGGGTGCAGTGTCATCTGTACACAGATGACGTCCAACTCTGTCACTCCTTTCCACCTGCTACTAAGGAGGCTGTCCAGGTCCTGAACCGGTGCTTGGCCGCTGTGATGGTCTGGATGAGGGCAAACAAATTGAAGTTGAATCCAGACAAGACAGAGGTACTCCTGGTCAGTCGCAAGGCCGAACAGGGCATAGGGTTACAGTCTGTGTTGGATGGGGTCGCACTCCCCCTGAAGACGCAGGTTCGCAGCTTGGGTGTGATCTTGGATTCATCGCTGAGCCTGGAACCCCAGGTTTCGGCGGTGACCAGGGGAGCATTTGCACAGCTAAAGCTTGTGTGCCAGCTGCGCCCGTACCTTGGGAAGTCTGACTTGGCCACGGTAGTCCACGCTGTGGTTACATCCCGCCTAGACTACTGCAACACTCTCTACGTGGGGTTGCCTTTGAAGACGGCCCGGAAGCTTCAACTAATCCAACGTGCGGCAGCCATGATCCTAAAAGGAGCGGAACGCAGGGAGCATGCGACCCCCCTGTTGCGCCAGCTCCACTGGCTGCCGATCTGCTACCGGGCTCAATTCAAGGTGCTGGTGTTGGCCTTTAAAGCCTTAAACGGTTCCGGCCCAAGATACCTATCTGATCGCATCTCTGCCTATGAACCCAGCAGGACTTTGAGATCTTCCGGGGAGGCCCTGCTCTCGATCCCGCCTGCTTCTCAAGCACGGCTGGCGGGGACGAGAGATAGGGCCTTCTCAGTGGTGGCTCCTCGGCTGTGGAACGCCCTTCCCACGGACATTAGGCTAGCACCATCTCTAATGGTATTCCGCAAAAAACTGAAGATCTGGCTGTTTGTGCAGGCGTTCGAATAACTAGTGCAATGATTGGCAATGAACATAGGAATGGATGATGAATTCTGGATTATGTTTTTGGATGATGAGACGATAGTGATTGGTTAATGTAGTAATTGTTTATTGTTGGGTAATATGTTAATTTGTTAATTGTTGTTATATTATTGCATTGAAGTATTGCTGTTTTTATTGGCTGTGAACTGCTGTGAGTCGCCCTCGGGCTGAGAACAACGGTATATAAGTAAAGTAAAGTAAATAAATAAATAAATAAATAAATAAATTATTTATATCCCTCTTTTCTCCCTAAAGGGACCCAAGTTTAATAATACTAAATATTTATTTAAATATTTATTTAGATCCCGCTTTTCTCCCTCAAGGGACCCAAAACTGCTTACAACATATTAAAATCATGTAAACAACAATCCAAATACATCGATAATAAGTATAAAATATAATAAAATAACAATTTAAAACAGTAATATACATTCACATTCTACTACTCTAGAATGTGTCTGGATCATGGCCATACAGTCCAAAAAAATCACAGCAAGCCAGTGATTCCAGCCATGAAAGCCTTCAACAAGTAATGGCACAGAAGTGTTTTGACATTACAAGGTATCTTAATTTTTTTTGCAATTTATTCCTCAGCTTCCTTTCAGCAAAAGTACTTAAGGACTAGCAAAATTAAAATCAGAAACTTGAATAACAACAACAATAACAACAACAAAACTTTATTTATATTCTGCCCTTCTCCCTGAGGGGACTCAGAATGGATTACAGCATATGAACAAACACAGGCAAACATTTATTGCCTTGTTACAATGAAATACCATGACACACAAATACACAGACAAAGGCAAGGGCTTCTCCTTTCATTTCTGGCTCTGGAGGCAGTGCACATCTCTGACTTTTGGGGAGGTGCTCATCTCCCTTTCCAAGCTAAAGAGCTTGTGTTGTCCGTAGACGCCTCCTGGTCACATGTCTGGCATGACTACATGGAGCATCTCTTTGCCTTTCCTGCCATTGATCTACTCACATTTGCATGTTTTCGAACTACTAGGTTGGCAGGAGCTAGGGCTAAAAGCAGGTGCTCACCCCATCCTGCGGATTCGAACTGCCAACCTTCAGATCAGCAGTTCAGCAGCAAAAGGGTTTAACCCATTGCATCACCCATGGAATATAAAGACAAGAGCATACAAATGAATTAAAATCACTATTTGCCATGTGCAGTGTTTAAGAGACAGTTAACTTTGAGCTTTCTTTTCCTTTCAGCCAACAAAAGGGAGACAACTGGGCAAACTATACTCCAGAAGGCCCAGAGTGACCCCAAAAGCAGCCCCAAAACAGGGCAGAAGAGCCCCCAGCAGCCGCGCAAGGAACCCAGGTGACACTTTGGGCATGGTAGGGTCTTGGTGTTGGCAACCCTTCCCTTCTTTTCTTCTGCTTATCTTTTCTGGGCTCTTTTCTTCTAGCTTGGCCCCAGAACATTTGGAGATACGAGATGCAAGGAGTGACACCGAATCTACTGAGAACATGAGCCTGGATGGCTACCGCCCTGCCTCTTCTCCTACAGCCGCCAGGTTAGACATTCCAGCTTTGATGGCAAAGGGAAGGAGCCAGGTTGCAGCCTTTGGACCAGATTGTGGCACAGCTGGTTGGGAGTCAACTGCATTAAAATCACTACTAACTGAAAGGTCATGAGTTCAAAGCCAGAACGGGTCAGAGTAAGCTCCCGACCATTTGTCTAGCTTGCTGTTAACCTGAAAGACAGTTGCATCTGTCAAGTAGGAAATTTAGGTACCGCTTATGCGGGGAGGCTAATTTAACTAATTTATGATGCCATAAAACTTTCCAGCAGCATGCAAAAGAATGAGGAAGTACTCCATCCGTGTCACAAGTGGACGGTGAAGCAACAGCCCTGGTGGTCAGAATTCAAAGCATACCCTCATGAAGCTGGAAAGTTAAATAGCCTCTGCGTGTCTGTCTATATATGTTGTGTGTCTATGGCATTGAATGTTTGTCATGCATATGTACATTATGATCTGCCCTGAGTCCCCTTTGGGGTGAGAAGAGCGGAATATAAATATTGTAAATAAATAAATAAATAATCTGGAGAAATGGGGTGCTGGTTTAGATAGGCCTTTTGGTGTGACCTCCACCAACTCTGGTCTTTTGTCCTGTTTTTGCAGCCCTCGCCAAGAGCGGAGGAAGGCAGCCAGTCCTTCTGTGTCCAATGCGTCCAGCCTGACCCTCCCGGTCCGCTTCAGAGAGGCCTCTCCCTCCGCTTCTGACAACGTAATGTGTACTTCTGTTTCACTGAAGATTGCATGGATAGCATATACTTATTTTCTGACGTAACGATGCCCTCGACTTTTTTTTTCATGTCAGAGGCGACTTGAGAAACTGCAAGTCGCTTCTGGTGTGAGAAAATTGGCTGTCTGCAAGGATGTTGCCCAGGGGACGCCTGGATGTTTTTGATGTTATACCACCCTTAGGAGGGTTCTCTCATGTCCCCGCATGGGGAGCTGGAGCTAACAAAGGGAGCTCATCTGCGCTCTTCCTAGATTCGAACCTTTGACCTGTCAGTTTTCAGTTCTGACGGCACAAGGGTTTAACCCATTGCTCCATTGGGGCTCCTATGTCCTTGACTGAGGTCTGAAGCAATGCATCACATCAAAACATATTTATAAATTGCTAGTCGTCCCCTGCCACACATTGCTGAGGACTAGTCCACTTTGTGGCCCCATTTCTTAAGGTTGGCTCTGCATCTCGTGGTGCCAGAGCACAGTCTGTTCAGCACCTTCCAAGTCACCCAGTCTTTTGTGTGCCCAGGGGGGAGTCTCTCATTTGGTATCAGCCATGGATTGAGGTTCTGGGTTTTAGACTGCCACTTTTGGACTCTCACTTGCTGAGGTGTCCCACCAAGTGTTTATATAGATCTTAGAAAACTATTTATTGTTTCTAACTCTGGAATGGTGCAATGTCAACAACAAATACAACAGCTGACTGGCGCTGTCTGTTGTTGTTGTTATTGTTATTTCAATACATCAATAAATAGATACATAACATGGTACAAAACACAGAAACAATCAAAATACATCATCAGTTAGAAGTATATAGCATCAGTTTAAGCCGTGTACATGTTAAAGACATAATCCATAATTTTAAAAGGTGGTTCACTTGCTATTTTAGCTTGTAGTCTCTTGCCGGTGTGTGTGGGTGTTGTTGCTGATTTGACCATGGTTATGAGTGTCTGTTTTATTTACGACATTTATATGTCACCCTTCTCACCCGGAAGGGGACTCAGAGCGGTTTACAAGGTATATATACATACAATATATTATATTACTAGCCATCCCCTGCCACGCGTTGCTGTGGCCCAGTCTGGTGATCTGTTAAATAAAGTAATGAGAAAGTGTTGGTTTCCAATATATGTAATTTCTTTCTGCTTGTGGGTAAACAGTGTTTCTTGTTGATTCATTGTCAGTGCTGATGTGGAAATTGTCTGGTTTGCCTACTCTGGAATATGCAACATATCATACTCCTTTTTTAGGGGTCCCTTTCAAATCTATGATACTATATCTCTCTGTGTGTGAATCATATATATCTATCTATATCTATGGCTGGATGGCTCTTTGACAGGAGGGCTTTGATTACATTTTCTTGCCCTGGGGAAGAGATTTGGACTGGATGGCCTTAAGTATTTTCCATTGGTCATGGGGGTTCTGTGTGGGAAGTTTGCCCCAATTCTGTCATTCGTGGAGTTCAGAATGCTCTTTGATTGTAGGTGAACTATAAATTCCAGAAACTACAACTCTCAAATGTCAAGGTCTATTTCCCCCACACTGCATCTGTGTTCACATTTGGGCATATTGAGTATTCATGCCAAGTTTGGTCCAGATCCATCATTGTTTGAGTCCACAGTGCTCTCTAGATGTAGGTGAACTACAAATCCAAAACTCAAGGTCAATGCCCACCAAACCCTTCTCGTGTTTTCTGTGGCTCAGGGGAGTCCTGTGTGCCAAATTTGGTTCAATTCCATCGTTGGTGGAGTTTAGAATGCTCTTTGATTATAGGTGAACTATAAATCCCAGTAACTACAAGTCCCAAATGACAAGATCATAATTTTTGAGTGATGGTCACTCCTTGTGTTGTGAGACGTTTTGTTGCCAAATTTGGTGTGATTTCGTTCATTGGTTCTTTTGTTTTTAAGGTACTCATTACGCACAGAGCATTTGTGTGTGTGTGTGTGTGTGTGTGTGTATATATATATATATTAGTATAGTACAGTATTATATCTTACTATATTGTACTATACCATTATATTGTAATATTATTAGTAATATTACATGTAATATAAATATATAATTATAATATCATATTATTAGTATTATATTACATTACATTATAATATCATAAATATTATATGTATATACAATATACTATATTACATTACGTTATTATGTAATGTTCTGGGACATCGGCTAATTTTTTCATAGGAAGCGCGTTTGGGCAGTCAAAGTGCAGCTTCGGCCGATGAGAACGAAACCTTATTCAAGAAGAATCCCCGGAGAACTCAGAGGCCATCCGGTAAGTTTCAGCTAGAGCAAAATTTGGAAAAAATAGGTTTTGCAAGATGATGACTCCCAGGATCATTCAGCATGTATAGCTACTGACAATGCTGTTGGGGGGGTTCTGGGAATAGCGATGCTCCAAGCTAACGCTTGCAAGCTTCTAAGAGATAAGGTCCAAAACTGGTTTGTCTAGTGCAGTGCTGAATTTAGGATGCCAAGCTTTAGACTAGAGAGAAGTGGGTTCAGATCCTGTCTGGTTCTGGTGTTAGGTTACTTGCTCTTTTTGCTCCTATCCTATCTTGGGGGTGTTATGAGTCCAAACCAGGCATGGGCAAACTTGGGCCCTCCAGGTGTTTTGGACTTCAACTCCCACAATTCCTAACAGCCTACCGGCTGTTAGGAATTGTGGGAGTTGAAGTCCAAAACACCTGGAGGGCCCAAGTTTGCCAATGCCTGGTCTAAACTGTGTGCAATGGAGCATTTCAGTGACTTGTGGGTTCTGTGGCACAGACTGAACTGGAGAGAGAATTGGTCTATCTATCCCAGTACTGCCATCTCCTAACCTCCAGGCACTCCTTTGCATTTCCCCCCAGCTCTGATGACCGGGATTCATTTGACCTGGCTGTCAGTGTCAAGTGGCAGAAAAAAGAAGCCTGTAGGGATGGCGATGGGATTCCTTTTCCTGAATGTCCCTTGGAAAAGCCCCTGTTTAGGATGCCATCTGGGTGCAGGAGAATCTGGTCACACACTAAAGGAATAGATCTGAGTTTTAGCCAAGGTTCTTTCCTGTTCACATGCTGGAAGTGATGTTCCTCTGATTTCTGCTCCAATCTTTGTTCCAGAGTACACCAAATCAGTGATCGACCTGCGACCGGAGGAGTCCCTTAATGGAAGTGGAAATCTAGGGGACAGGAGCAAGTCAGTTCCAGGCCTCAACGTTGAAATGGTGAGTCTTGTAATAGCATTAACAACAACAACAACAATGATAGTAATAATAACAATAATTGAAAAGTTGATGACAGATTTATTTATTTATTTATTTACTATGCTTATATACCGCTGTATCTCAAGCCCGTGGGCGACTCACAGCGGTTTACAAACAGTAAAGACAATAAAAACAGCAATAGTTCAATAAACAATGACAATTAATTTACACATTTCCATTAATAACTAATAAGCAATCCCAATACACAATTATTACAAACCCCATCCCCGATCGCCTCATCATCCATGCATGATCCAAATTCATCGTCCATTGTTCCGTTCCTATATTCAATTACCAGATTGCACTAAATTACAGATTCCAAGTGTAGACTCTGCAAGGAAGCAGACAAAATGTTGGATCATATCCTCAGCTGCTGCAAGAAGATTGCGCAGACAGACTACAAGCAGAAGCGCAACAGCATTGCTCAGATGATCCAGTGGAACTTGTGCCACAAATATCATCTGCCTGTGACAAAGAACTGGTGGGATCACAAGACTGAAAAAGTTATGGAAATTCAGACTGACAGAGTTTTGGAGCACAAGACTCCTGACCTTACAACTGTGGAAAAAATAAGTATGGACATCGATGTTGCAATCCCAGGCGACAGCAAGATTGATGAGAAGCAACTGGAAAAGCTGACACTATATGAGGATTTAAAGATTGAACTGCAAAGACTCTGGCACAAACCAGTAAAGGTGGTCCCAGTGGTGATCGGCACATTTGGTGCAGTGCCTAAAGACCTTGGCCTGCACTTAAACACAATCGGCTCTGACAAAATTACCACCTGCCAGCTGCAAAAGGCCACCCTACTTGGATCTGCATGCATTATTCACCAATACATCACACAGTCCTAGACTCTTGGGAAGTATCTTACAAAAGCAAGCATAGGGATCTTGTTTGCTGTGTACTAGTCTTGTAATGTATCAAATAATACAGTAATAATAATTTTATTTCTTATCCGCCTTTCCTTGAGGCTCAAGGCAGGTTACAACATAGCCAAAAACACGTAATTATATAAAACACACTCTTTTACACTCGTTACTCTACTCCCCCTGCTTTCCCTTTCTAATTTAATCCCATTTTAACACATTTATTTTTTAATCAAGTTTTATCGTGTTCCAATTTATTTTAGTAAATATTACAGAAGTTTTAGTGTAGCAATGAGCCCCCGGTGGCGCAGTGGGTTAAACCCCTGTGCCGGCAGGACTGAAGACTGACAGGTCACAGGTTCGAATCTGGGGAGAGGTGGATGAGCTCCCTTTATCAGCTCCAGTTCCTCATGCAGGGACATGAGAGAAGCCTCCCACAAGGATGATAAAAATATCAAATCATCCGGGTGTCCCCTGGGCAACGTCTTTGCAGATGGCTAATTCTCTCACACCAGAAGCGACTTGCAGTTTCTCAAGTGACTCCTGACACGACAAAAAAAAGTGTAGCAATTATTGTCTATTTGTGTATTATTGTTTTTGTCTTTTATTGTTGATATAGTCAGCGGACTAATCAGTAAACAGATCTGAAGTATAAAATACACATAATATAACTTATTGCTACAAAAGAAATATGTTAAAATACACTGTGTGTACTAATCTTGTTGTGCATCAAATAATAATAATAATGCTTAAAATAATTTATTTATTTATTTACTTTACTTTACTTATATACCGCTGTTCTCAGCCCGAGGGCGACTCACAGCGGTTCACAACAACAAGAATAGAAAAAATTCAATACCACAATATTAAAAACAATTAACAACTCAGCACATCACACAATTAATAAGCAATTACTACAATAACTTCACTATCGTCTCATCCACAAGAACGTAATCCAGATTCGTCAACCATTATTCCATTCCTATATTCATCACCGGTCATTGCACTAATTATTCGAACGCCTGCTTAAACAGCCAGGTCTTCACTTTTTTACGGAATACCATTAAGGATGGTGCTAGCTTAATGTCCGCGGGAAGGGCGTTCCACAGCCGAGGAGCCACCACCGGGAAGGCCCTATCTCTCGTCCCCGCCAGCCATGCTTGAGAAGCAGGCGGGATCGAGAGTAGGGCCTCCCCGGAAGATCTCAAAGTCCTGGTGGGTTCATAGGCAGAGATGCGGTCAGATAGGTAGCTTGGGCCAGAACCGTTTAGGGCTTTAAAGGCCAACGCCAGCACTTTGAATTGAGCCCGGTAGCAAATCGGTAGCCAGTGGAGTTGGCGCAGCAGCGGGGTTGTATGCTCCCTGCGCTCCGCTCCTGTTAGAATCATGGCTGCCGAGCGTTGGACTAGTTGGAGCTTCTGAGCCGTCTTCAAGGGCAACCCCACGTAGAGAGCGTTGCAGTAGTCTAGGCGGGATGTAACCAGAGTGTGGGCTACCGTGGCCAAGTCAGACTTCTCAAGGTACATAAGGCACATCTCCTATAAGCTACTTAGGGCAAGTGTTTTTTTAAGGGAAATGACTGGCTGAATCCTGGGATTAAGTCAAGGCCTTTCCAACGCTCTGCACTTCAATGGCCAATGTGTTTACGTCATGCTATAGTACTCTTCTGTGTGCCTTTTCTCAGGAGGAGGAAGAGGAGGATGAAGACATTGATAGCTTGGTGGAGATCCACCGGAGGAGGACGGCCAGAAGCAGCATGCGCAGTGGCACATCCTCGGTGAGTGCTCTTCTTGATATCTGTAATTGAGAAGAAGAATGGGGAGGATGGGTGATGCGGAACATGGATAGCGTATAGGGTTCACTTTTGTCTTTGACTGATACCCTGAAGTTTACCAGTGGTATGAAGAGTAAACATTCACTAGTGATTACGAACAAAAACGCCCAAGTATGTACTTAGCCAGGAAGGCTGTGCTCGTAACCAGAACTAAGTCAACAATCCCTTTTATACATACTCCTCCTTTCCAACTAGTTTCTTTCTCAGGAATCTTTTTGCAGAAGGGGGATTTTTATTTAGTTGTTCCTATTATTAGATAATTGGGATGCTGAAGCTCTTGTTAACACATGAAATAGATCCAAGATGACTTGATATTGACTTGGTATTATATTATATGTTAAAGTTTTTAAATGTTTTATTGTGTTGTTGGCATTGATTTGTTGCCTTGTTGACCACCCTGAGTCGCCTGCGGGCTGAGAGGGGCAGTATAGAAATATAGTAAGTAACTAAGTAAATAAATATATAAACCCCATTTTGCTAGTTTCCAACAGACCTCACAATCTCTGAGGATGCGTACAACAGATGCAGGTGAAACATCAGGAGAGAATGCTTCTGGAACATGGCCAGACAGCCCGGAAAACTAATAGTGTGTTGTGAGTTTTCCGGGCTGTCTGGCCATGTTCCAGAAGCATTCTCTCCTGATGTTTTGCCTGCATCTATGGCAGGCATCCTCAGAGGTTGTGAGGTCTGTTGGAAACTAGCAAAATGGGGTTTATATATATTTATGTATTTTATTTATTTATTTATTTACTGCGCTTATATACCGCAATTCTCAGCCCTATATTTATTTACTCACTATATTTCTATACTGCCCCTCTCAGCCCACAGGCAACTCAGGGTGGTCAACAAGGCAACAACTCAATGCCAACAACAGCATAAAAAAATTAAAAACTTTGATATATAATATAATATCTTAGCATATTATATATCTGTGGAATGTCCAGGGTGGGAGAAATAACTCTTGTCTGTTGGAGGTAGGTGTGAATGTTTCAATTGGCCACCTTGATTAGCATTGTTACATCCCGAATAGACTACTGCAACACACTCTACATGGGGTTGCCCTTGAAGACTGTTCGGAAACTTCAACTGGTCCAGCGAGCGGCAGCCAGATTGCTCACTGGAGTGACATACAGGGAGCACACCACCCCCCTGTTGTGTCAGCTCCACTGGCTGCCGGTTCAGTTCCGAGCACAATTCAAGGTGCTGGTTTTGACCTACAAAACCCTTTACGGTTCCGGTCCAGTGTATCTGTCCGAACGTATCTCCCTCTACGTCCCACCCCGGAATTTGAGATCATCTGGGGAGGCCCTGCTCTCGACCCCACCGCTATCACAAGTGAGGCTGGTGGGGACGAGGAGCAGGGCCTTCTCAGTGGTGGCCCCTCACCTGTGGAACTCACTCCCGGGGGAAATTAGGGCATCAACATCCCTCCTCTCCTTCAGGAGGAAGGTAAAGACATGGTTGTGGGACCAGGCCTTTGGGCAATCTGACAACTAGATATGGACAACCAGATGGATAGGACTGAAAGGACTGACAATTGTGGAATTGGAATTTGAACTATGAGATTGCGAAACGCTGACCGTCAATGAGGAGAAATGGTTTGTATTGGTTTTATTGCTTTTATTGGTTTTATGGTTGTTTTTGCCTTACAATAATTATTGTTTTCTGTTAATTGATGTTATTGCTAGAATTGCTGTTTTCTGTTAACTGATCTTATTGCTGTTATGTGATGTGGGCATCGAATTGTGCCTTGCTTTTGTAAGCCGCCCTGAGTCCCCTCCGGGGTGAGAAGGGCGGGGTAGAAGCAACCGAAATAAATAAATAAATAAATAAATTGAATGGCCTAGCAGTTTCAAAGTCCGACTTCTTACTGCCTGGGGGAATCCTTTGTTGGGAGGTGATTAGCTGGCCCTGATTGTTTCTTGTCTGGAGCTCCCCTGCTTTTTGAGTACATGTCTTCTCTATGTAGCTCTCCAGGTGCTGGCTTGTAACTCCCATGTTCCCTTGTTGTTGCCTAGGGCTGAGGGTAGTTGTAGTATTAGATGTTATAAAGGACGTTCTTCCTCTTTGCAGCATGTGATGTATGGCATTCTTTTGTATTTCCCATTTCTTCAGAGCACTTTGGGAAGCATGGTTAGTCTTTATAGTGAGGCGGGTGATTTTGGCAACGTCTGTGTCACAGGAGAGATTGCCTTCAGCTTGAGCTATGAGGAGAAGACCCAGACCTTGTTCATCCATGTGAAGGACTGCCGCCGCTTGGCATATGCCGACGACACCAAGAAACGCTCCAACCCGTGAGTGCCTGCTGGGCAGCATGTCCTTCATTGTCATCCAGTGCGAGGGAAGATGTGGGGCTTGGTGGGTTAATTTTTTTTGCCCTGATTTGAGTAAAATGGCAAGTATAGATTTGCCATCTGTTCAAGTCTATAGCCAGTTTGGTCCTGGTCCTTGAATATCTTTCAGCATTATGTCTGAATTGATAAGCTGTTCTGTCTCTCCTTTTGATAGTAGTGCCTGGAAAACTTGCTGGAAATGCTAGCTTTTGGATTTGGGGGGTTTTACTGTAAAAAGTAACTTTTCCAAACTTGATCATCTGAGGCTGGAGACTTTTGCCATCTTCTTTCCTAACGTTGTTTTCTTCATGTAGTCTCAACTTTGAGGAAAAGAGCAATAATAATAATAGACTATATTAATAATAATAGATTAATAATAAATAAATAAATAATAGATTTTGGCACAAGCCAGTAAAGGTGGTCCCAGTGGTGATCGGCACACTGGGTGCAGTGCGTAAAGACCTTGGCCTGCACTTAAACACAATCGGCGCTGACAAAATTACCATCTGTCAGCTGCAAAAGGCCACCCTACTGGGATCTGCGCGCATTATTCGCCGATACATCACACAGTCCTAGACACTTGGGAAATGTCCGACATGTGATCCAATACAACAGCCAGCAGAGTGATCTCTTCTGATGTGGACTCATCTTGTTGTGTTTCAAATGATGATGATGATGATGATGATGATGATGATGATAATGATAATGATGGAACTTGTGCCAAAAATACCATTTGCCTGTGACAAAGAACTGATGGGATCATAAGCCTGAAAATGTTACAGAAAATGAACATGTCAAACTATTCTGGGACATCCAAATTCAGAGTTTTGGAGCACAAGGATCATCAGTGTTGCAATCTCAGGCAATAGCAGAATTGATGAGAAGCAACTAGAAAACCTTAGACAATACAAGGATTTAAACTGCAAAGAGTCTGGCACAAGCTGCTAAAAGTGGTCCCAGTGGTGATGGGCACACTGGGTGCAGTGCCTAAACACCCTGGCCTGCACTTAAAAACAATCAGCACTGACAAAATCACCATCTGTCAGCTGCAAAAGGCCACTATGCTCGGTTCTGCACGCATTATTTGCTGATACATCACACAGTCCTAGACACTTGGGAAGTGTCCAACGTGTGATCCAATACAACAACCAGCATAGGGATCTTGTTTGCTGTGTGCTCATCTTGTTGTGTATCAAATAATACAGTAATAATATCTTTATTTTTTTCCTGCCTCTTCTTGTGGCTCGAGGCAGGTTATAACTTAGCCAAAAACACATAATTATATAAATACACTCTTTCACATTCGTCGCTCCACTCCCCCTCCTTTCACCTTCCAATTTATTTTAGTTAACTACTGCAGGAGTTTTAGCGTAGCGATTAGTGTCTATTTGTGTATTTTTGTCTTTGTCTTTTATTGTTCATATAGTCAGCGGACTAATCAGTAAACAGATCTTAAGTATAAAATACACATAATAAAACTTATTGCTAGAAAATAAATATGTTAAAATACACTGAATAAAAATTAAAATATAGTGGACACAAGACGCAAGTTAAAAACCCAGGTTTGCCTTAAGAGTTGCCATAAGTAAAAAAGTGAATTAAAGGTACACAATGGGAATATTTTACCTTCCCTACTGTTCCATTAGAGAGAAAGAAACAGAAAAGGGAAGGAATGTAAAAAGCAAACAAACGCCAGGTGGCATCTCTGAAGTAAATCACATTAGGAAAGAAGATGGGAAAAGTCTCGGAGCAAGAACAAGCAAGCTGTATTTCTGTAAAAGCAGGGAAGGAAGCGGAAAGGAGGAGCCAAAAGAAGCAACGTGGCCTCAGTGTCTTAGGTTGCAGGAGTCCCTGTCTGTCTCTGGGTGGTGATGGAAACTGTATGGATTCCTCCTCCCAACTTACCCAGATAGGGCTTTCATGCCCCACTTTGCAACAAACCTGTGTAGTAAATAAACATGAAAGGCAACGAGACGTTTCCAGGGTCATCTTGTGAATGTCATGGCTTTGCAAGGATTTGAATTTGCTGTCCTCAGTCCACTGTATCACACTGTGTGTGATTGAAATGCAAAGTGCAAACCTTTTGTCTTCTGCAGGTATGTGAAGACGTACCTTCTCCCAGACAAATCCCGCCAGGGGAAGCGCAAGACCACTATCAAGCGCAACGCAGTCAATCCCCTGTACCACGAACTGCTCAAGGTACTTGTCTGAGTGTGTTGTATGCATGCCAGGTATGACCAAGGCATATGTGTTGGGTATCCTATACCTCTCTGGCGCGCAGCCTCATCCGTATTAAAGTTAATTTTCTTGCTTTGATGTCTTTGAAATAACATCAAGTCAGTTAAGAATACATCAGAGCTGGTTGTGCTCCCATGTGGAAAAGGCTGTCCCACGTTGCTTCTTGCAAGGCTTGTGTAACAATTGGGAATAGCTTTTTTTTGGTAGCAATATGCAGACTGAACCCTTGCTTCTAAGCATTTTGACAATGTCATCACCAGGGGGCAGAACTCTCTGCAAATCAACAAGATCTGTTGCATAGAAAGGTCTGATGAGTATATAAATGTAGTTCCTTTTCCAATCCCCAGGCAAAACCATTGTCACAATTTTCCTCTCCATCGGGAGTGGCTTGTTTGGAAATCTGATATGTCTGAATCTCCCTGGAGACAGTTGCAACAAGGGATAGTTTGTGACAATATAGCAGTGTATTGTCGAAGGCTTTCATGGCCAGGATCACTGGGTTGTTGTAGGTTTTTCCAGGCTATATGGCCATGTTCTGGAGGCAATTTTTCTCCTGACGTTTCGCCTGCATCTATGGCAAGCATCCTCAGAGGTAGTGAGGTCAGTATAGCAGTGGTTCCCAACCTGTGATCCGTGGACCACCAGTGGTCTGCAAAAATGAAAATATGGTCCGTGGCCTCACCATTACTACACCGTTGCTTCAAAACCAAGTGGCAACGAGAACGGCTGGTCTTGGAAAACCCTCTTATAGTACCAAGGCAATGGGGATGTTGGGAGGGGAAAGGCTGATTACTCGTGAAAGATTACTACCACATCAGATCTAAATTATTAAATATGGCTTTCTGTGGGTGAGCATAGCAACTACTGGATGGCATATATTCTGTAGCAGAAACCTGATGTGATCGATCCAATGCAATTTTTTGAATTAGCACCCCAAATAACCAAACTGCATCTAAAGATGACCCAAAACTGATTCGTAACCCGTTTGGTACTAATGTTGGAGAGTGGTCCCTGGTTAAAAAAAAGGTTGGGAATCAACCTAGAAAAACACACCTCCACTATGAGAATTTACAGTCGCTAAACTGGAAACAAGGAAGCCGGAGCATGTGGTAGATGGTAATGATAAAGACTCACTCCTCATCATGGCACTCTTTTCCTTTGCTGTGTTTGTGATGCAAAAGTCATGGATAAGGAGCCCCTCTTCTCCAGTTTCTTCTCTGTTTAGGGGTAAGGGATGAAAAGCTGTTTAAAACACGATAATCTGCTGCACTGAACCAAGCAGCACTTTGCAGCCAAGGAAGATTTGTCATTGAGAACCTGTGCTTTCTATGCTTTGGTGGGGAGAAGGACTACATTCTTAGGAACTCATAGAATCATAGAATCAAAGAGTTGGAAGAGACCTCATGGGCCATCCAGTCCAACCCCCTGCCAAGAAGCAGGAATATTGAATTAGATTATATCATACAGCAGCAGCACCATACATTACTGGAGTGCCATGGCTAAGTACTTCTTTCTCCTCTTGCACCTTACAGTATGAGATCAACAAGTCCATTCTGCTGGCCAGGATCTTGCAATTCTCTGTCTGGCATCATGATCGCTTTGGTCGGAACACATTCTTGGGCGAAGCAGAGGTCCCAATGGACTCCTGGAACATGGAGAGCCCCTTGGAGGAGACCCTCCCTCTGCATGGCAAGGTGTGTGCTATGCCTGCTTCTTTGGAGTTAGGTCCATAGCTCTCTTCCAACAGATCCTTTTTCAATATTGTTGTGTACAATTTCTCTTGGGTGCCATAAGTAAACCTTGCATAAACTGGGTTGGTTGTGTTCAGGAAACGCTCATATTCATTCCATACCTGTTGCTCTCCGGTACATGTTGTTCTCTTTTCTAGCACATGGTGGATTTGGCTGCCTCTTCTCAATACAAAGGCGAGTTGGTGGTTTCTTTGAAGTTCATTCCACCTGCCAAGCAGGCCACTGCAGGAAGTGGGAGGAAAAGTGAGTATTCATAAGCCATGGGTGTTGTAGCTCCCCATTTTTCTCCTTAAATCTGTTGCACCCCAGCCAGAGTTCACCGTACCCTTAACACCAACCAGGAATCCAAAGCAGTAGTAAAACAGTTTATTGGAAAATTACATTTAAAAAGGGAAAACCACCCAAAGAAGCAAGAAAGGCAAAATCCAACAGGTAATAAGAAAAAGGAGTCAATAAGTAAAAATCCCAACCAAACTGGTGAGGAGTAAAACACTTCAAAGGCAATAATCCAAATAATCCAAAAGCTACATGGAAACAAGAGTCATAACATGAGCATAGATCCAGGAAAAGAAGAATCAAAACATGAGCATGAATCCAAAACCAAGGCTATAAGAACTTCTTAAAACATGAATCAGAACTCCCAAGATCTTAGACTTTTTTTAAAATGTCAGAAGCGACTTGAGAAACTGCAAGTCACTTCTGGTGTGAGCGAATTGGCCATCTGCAAGGACGTTGCCCAGGGATACCTGGATGTTTTGATGTTTTACCATCCTTGTGGGAGGCTTCTCTCATGTCTCTGCATGGGGAAGTGGAGCTGACAGAGGGAGCTCATCCACGCTCTCCCCAGATTTGAACCTCCGACCTGTCAGTCTTCAGTCCTGCCAGCACAAGGGTTTAGCCCATTGCACCACAGGGGGCTCCTAAGATCTTAGACTAAAACCATGAACTGAAACAGGACTTGAGATGCTTACTGTTATGCAGCGTTTCCTGATCTGAATTCTCATGGAGACACCTCTCTGGTTTAAGGACTGCAAAACATGAAGTCATTTCTGTGACCCTGGCTCCCTGACTTGTGAGACTTTTTTTGGTCTTCGTTCTCACTGAACCTTTTCAATTTTCTCAGCCTGCTAGATTCCTTCCTTAGATCAAGCCTGATATGCCTGTCTAACACAGATGTTCTTTCAGGTGAAGTGTCTTGCCCCTCCATGTTTTTATCAGGGTTATCAGGGGTTGCTATGCTACTGGTAGGCGAAAGGCCTCCACCAATCACTGTATCTCCCTGTCTGCTGGACTCATTGAAAGAACCATCCCCACTCTCCCAGGCTTTGAAAGCCCAATCCTCTCATCTTCATCTGGCTAAATGATAGATTTATATATGGAATTATTTACTCAATCAGATCTAGAAACCTAACTTTTTTTTCCTTAGGTGGAAACTCAAAGTTTTCAAATTCTGTTTTAGTAGCCATATTATCATACACAGTTGCTCCCCCTCAATGGTTTTTGTCCCCAGAGTATATTCCCCACCTGTATGAAGATCTATATTTATGACCCTGTTCATTTACGAGTTTCTCTCCCAGAAACAATCTACTCCATCCCTATCTCATCCTGATTTTAGTATTTTTAGTATCTTAGTTTTTATCTTGCACATGTGGCCCGCTCATTGTTGTTATGTTATTTTATTTTACTGTGTATAATTTTGCTTTATCGTCTTTGTACTCATATGTTGTATGTATTTTACTGTGTTGTTATTGTGTTTTGGTTTTACCTTATTGTTATATGCTGTTGGGCTTGGCCTCATATAAGCTGCCCCGAGTCCCCATTAGGGAGATGGTGGCGGGGTATTAAAGTTTATTATTATTATTATTATTATTATTATTATTATTATTATTATTATTAGGTCAGGGGACTCTCCTTTGAATATTTTTTTTGGGTGATGGGGCACTTCCATTTCTGACTTTGATCATTCATGCTACTCACAATGGTCTCTTTAGGCAAAAAAGAAGAAGGCGGCGAACTTCAAGTCTGGATCAAAGAAGCCAAAAGCTTGACAGCAGCCAAATCTGGTGGGACATCTGACAGCTTTGTCAAAGGGTGAGCAACTAGATTTGTTTGAAGCTTTGGTGGAAAGAAAGGTTGGGAACTCACAGTTAATAATGCTCTGTCTAGATATTGTAGGAATTTAGGGCTGGGCATGGAAGAATAATCCTCTTGTACTTCACTTGGCATTGTGCATTCTCAAATATTGGGCTCTGGGAAGCAACCATATGTAGATGTCTTTATGGGGTGCATTCATGTCCAAGAAAAGCTGAACACGGTAGCCATGTATTGACTTATGTTGTGTAAATACTTCAGCTTTTTCTGGCCAAGGGAGAGTGCCATAGATGGCGCAAAGTGTCCTCTCCTGACCTCCGAGACTTCCATTCCTAGCTTGTTCAAGGTATTGAAAGCAGAGTTTCTCGGAGTAAGCAGAGAGCGATAAGATTTAAGTGGTAGACTTTATACAGAGTAAGCTTTGAAAAGTCCCACTCGACCAGTTTCCTCCCATTGATAAAACAACAGCAAATAACATGTACTAGTAAAATATGTCAGACCAAAGAGGGATCCGTGGCTGAAATAGTTTGAGAACCCCTGCTCTACTTAAAAGGAGATAGAATATGGCTTTTAGTCAAGTTCATTTCATTTCATTTAGGCGATCCCTCATTGGCCACGTAGGATAGTCTTCCAGGATCAGTGTCCTGGGGGTGGGTGTGCAGCCCTATTCTTGATCTGCATCTTCTCCCACAGTGAGGGCATTGTTTCCAGATGGAAGGCGGTCCCGGTTGGTGTTGGCTTGATGCGCCTTCCTCTTGGCACGTTTCTCTCTTTCGCCCTCCATTCGCACCTCTTCAAATTCTACAGCACTGCTGGTCACAGCTGACCTCCAGCTGGAGCGCTCAAGGGCCAGGGCTGCCCAGTTCTCAGTGTCTATGCCAGAGTTTTTAAGGTTGGCTTTGAGCCCATCTTTACATCTCTTTTCCTGCCCAACAACATTCTGTTTTCCGTTTTTGAGTTTGGAATAGAGCAACTGCTTTGGGAGACGGTGGTCGGGCATCCGGACAACGTGGCTGCTCCAGCGGAGTTGATAGCAGAGGACCATTGCTTCAATGCTGGTGGTCTTTGCTTCTTCCAGCATGCTGATATTTGTCCGCTTGTCTACCCAAGAGATTTTCCGGAGGCAGCACTGATGGAATTGTTCCAGGAGTTGCATGTGACGTCTGTAGACAGTCCACGTTTCGCAGGCATATTACAGGGTTGGGAGGACAATAGCTTTATATACAAGCACCTTGGTATCCTTATGGATGTCCTGGTCCTCAAACACTCTCTGCTTCATTACGAAAAATGCTGCACTCGCAGACGGTGTTGAATTTCAGTGTCAATATTGGCTTTGGTGGAGCGGTGGCTGCCAAGGTAGCAGAAATGGTCAACATTTTCTAATGTTACATCATTAAGCTGTATTTTTGGTATTGGAGAGGGATTGGCTGGTTACTGCTGGAATAGCACTTTGGTTTTCTTGTTCAGTGACAGGCGAGCTTCTCGTATGCTTCTGTGAAGGTTTTTAGAGTGGCTTGTAGGTCTTTTTCTGAATGCACACAGATGACATTGTCATCAGCATACTGGAGTTCTATAACAGATGTTGTAACATCTGTTTTTAGTCACGTACTCCATGGAGAAAAGAGGCATGCAAATGTGATTGGGCGGGGGGTGGGGTGGGTCATAAAACAGAAAGCGAGAAGCATGTGAGATATTGTTAATTCTCCAACAGAAGTGTCTTTTTTAAAAATAAAGATAGCAAATCTTTCTGTTTTCCACAGATACTTGCTACCTCTGAGGAACAAGGCCACCAAGAGGAAGACCCCGGTGGTGAAGAAGAGTCTGAACCCTCATTACAACCACACCTTGGTCTACAACAACATCGGTCCAGAAGAGTTGGCCCACATCTGCTTGGAGCTCACCGTATGGGACCGGGAGCCTCTTTCCAGCAATGACTTCTTGGGTGGAGTCCGGCTTGGAGTTGGGAATGGTGAGGAGGCTGTTCAGAAGGGATGGGGTTGGCTGAAGTCAAGGCATACATGGAAAAGGGGGAAAAAAAGGAAAGGCTCCCAGGAATGGAAAGGGGAGCCTCTGAAGTTTTTCATTGCCACCAATGGGCTGGATCTAGCTGCATTTTTTGGCTACTGACCCAAAACGGTTACCCAGTTACCCACCTGTTTTTGGATATGTAGGTATACTGTTTGCTTTTTTTCATCTCAGAAGCGATTTGAGAAACCACAAGTTGCTTCTGGTGTGAGAGAATTGGCCATCTGCAAGGACGTTGCCCAGAGGCCGCCCGGATGTTTTTGATGTTTTACCATCCTTGTGGGAGGCTTCTCTCATGTCCCCGCATGGGGAGCTGGAGCTGACAGAGGGAGCTCATCCGCGCTCTCCCCGGATTTGAACCACTGACCTGTTGGTCTTCAGTCCTGCCAGCACAAGGGTTTAGCCCATTGCACCACTGGGGGCTCCCGGTCTACCGGTATCTGTCCAGCAGAACTGGATTGAGGTTTGGCCGAAATGCACAAGCCTAGAAATAACTACAAAATTTGTCCTTTCCAAATTGTAGAAGTAACATTAAAATATATGGTCACATTTTAAAAAATGGCCTATTGGAATACAGAGTGTTTCAAAAACAACGGACCCAGTTTCAAAGTAGTCGTGTATATATACTCGAGTATAAGCCTAGTTTTTCAGCCCTTTTTTAGGCCAAAAATGTCCCCCTTGGCTTATACTCGATTCAAGGTTATTATTTTACTTTCTTATTATTGTTATTTTATTACATTTATTATTATACTTTGTTATTGTTGTTATTACTACATTTATTATTTTACTCTACTATTACTGTAGCTATTACATTTCCATTATTTTATTCTATTATTATTATTATTATTATTATTACATTTATTATTTTACTCTCTATTATTATTGGAAGGATACATTGAAGATGAGAATAATGTTTTAATCAGAGTTGGGCAGTCTTACCTTAAATTATAGTTTTATGTAAGAACATTTAACCTACTGATGCCTCAATTAATGTAATTTTATTGTTATCTATTTTTTTTAAAAAAAATTACCAGTAGCTGCTGCATTTCCCACCCTTGGCTTATACTTGAATCAATCCATTTTCCCAGTTTTTGTGGTAAAATTAGGTACCTCGGCTTATAGTTGGGTTGGCTTATACTCGAGTATATTTCACGATGGCAACGTGTTACAATTACATTAAAACTTTCAAATGGTTTAATGACTTCTGAAAGTTGTCAAATTTTACTAACCATTTTGAGCCAGAAACCAATCTAAAAAAATAACTCAAATGGAGAATATCCAATCTGAGAAGAGACATGATAGCCATGTATAAATATGTTGAGAGGAAGTCATAGGGAGGAGGGAGCAAGCTTGTTTTCTGCTGCCTTGGAGACTAGGATGTGGAAGAATATCTTCAAACTACAAGAAAGGAGATTCCATCTGAACATTAGGAAGAACTTCCTGACTGTGAGAGCTGTTCAACGGTGGAACTCTCTGCCCCGGAGTGTGGTGGAGGCGCCTTCTTTGGAGGCTTTTAAACAGATACTGGATGGCCATCTGTCGAGAGTGCTTTGAATGCGATTTTTCTGCTTCTTGGCAGAATGGGATTGGACTGGATGGCCCATGAGGTCTCTTCCAACTCTAGGATTCTATGATATTACCTCCTAAAACTGGTGAAACAAACAAAACAAAACAAAGCAAAAAAAGAGGAAACAGAGCATATATAGGGTGCATAACTGGCCTTCTCTTTGTGCTGAAATGTAGCATGCAATATTAAAACAGAGCAGAAACAAGTTCTTGTTTTGTTTTGAAATGAACCAACTTTACCTTGAAGCAACTTAGACAACAAAAAAGAAGGAAGAGCACGCATCAGTACAATAACAATGATAAACAATGAGAACAAAGGGAGAATGCTAACTCGTTTATGTTTTGTTTTCCAATGGACAAGTACAATGAGGTCTGGTTGTTTTGATATGAAGCGCTGCATAGATGAGAGTCCTTGTCTCTCACAACATGCTTGGAGGGGACCATAGCAAGGAAGCAGAGCATCTGTTTTTAGGGTGAAGGTTTCAATCTTCGGCATTTCTGGTTTTAACAAAAACAGGGCATTATGAATTTATGTTAAATTGCTTTGAATCTCCTTCGGTAGAGATAAAGTGGGTCAAAGTGCTGAGCTGCTGACCAAAAGGTTAGCAGTTCGAATCCAGGGAGCAGGGTGAGCTCCCACAGTTAGCCCCAGCTTCTGCCAACCTAGCAGTTTGAAAACATGCAAATGTGAGTAGGTGAATAGGTACCCCTCCAACAGGAAGGTAACGGCACTCCATGCAGTCATGCCGGCTACATGATATAGGAGGTGCCTACGGATAACGGCAGCTCTTCGGCTTAGAAATAGAGATGAGTACCAACCTCCGAGAGTCGGACTCTACTAGACTTAATGTCAGAGGAAAACTTTACCTCTATCTTTTAATAATAATCATAATGATGATGATGATGATGATGGGAAAAGTGCTGTTTTAAATTAGACTGGGCTTGGAGGATGTTTGGCCTTCCAGATCTTGGATGGAAAGCTCCTGTTAGCTCCTTGGAGCACCCGGTGATGCAATGGGTTAAACCCTTGTGCCAGCAGGACTGCTGACCAAAAGGTCAGTGGTTCAAATCCAGGGAGCAGGGTGAGCTCCCAATTGTCAGCTCTAGTTTCCCATATGGGGACATGAGAGTATTAATTTCAGGGGAAAACCTTTACCTTTACCTTTTAATAATAATAATAATGATGATGATGATGATGATTATGATATTGGAAAAAGTGCTATTGTAAAGTAGACCAGGCTTGGAGGATGTGTGGCCTTCCAAATGTTGAAAGGAAAGTTCCTGTTACCTCCTTGCAGTGATGCAATGGGTTAAACCCTTGTGCTGGCGGGACTGCTGACCAAAAGGTTGGTGATTCAAATCTAGGGAGTGGGGTGAGCTCCCATCTGTCAGCTCCAGCTTACCGTGTGGGGACATGAGAGAAGCTTCCCACAGGATGGTAAAACATCTGGGCGTCCCCTAGGCAACGTCCATGCAGATGGGCAATTGTCTCACACCAGAAGTGACTTGTAGTTTCTCTAGTTGCTCCTGACGTGAAAAAAAACCCCAAACTCCTTGCTATTAATTCTGGGCTATGTTTAGGATTTCATAGGTTCTCCAGCCCTGAGTTCATTGCATACTTTGATTTATTTATTTCCCAGTGTCCTTCTTCCACCATGACCTGTTGACTGTCTATCCTTGGGTTCAGGGCACCAGCGGAGGCAAAGGCTCTTGTCTTATTTCCCTTTGTTTTGTCTTTCTAGGGATGAGTAATGGCCAAATGGTGGACTGGATGGATTCTACTGGCGAGGAGATCAGTCTGTGGCAGAAAATGCGCAAATACCCAGGGTCATGGGCAGAAGGAACTCTCCCGCTGCGGGCCACCATGGCCAAGTCAAAGCCATAATGCTGCTGGAGCAGTAGAGGGACCAAACGCCTTGGCCCTGGTTGCAAAGTCAAACTGGCACATTTTGAAAGGGATGTCCTCTGTTATTTAAAGAAAATTTCCTTTGTCCTTTTTTAAAAATTGGAATTGCATATTCATTGTTATTCTGCTGGGTCTGCAAAGTGCCTTTTAAACACTAATGGTCTTTTCACATTATTCCTTTCCTTTCCTTCCATCAAATTGTTTGTCTACATCCTGCTCTTGTTTTTAAATGCGGTTTCCTTCTGTTCTGCGTCTGGATGAAAGGGACATTGAAATAAAGTCTTAAATGTATCCAAATGTATATTGTCTGTATATTATGTTCCTATTGCCACATAAAGGTGACTGAGTGGCAATAGTACAGCTAGCAAAAATTCAATTCATTGGGTTGTTGTGAGTTTTCCAGGCTGTATGGCCATGTTCCAGAAGCATTCTCTCCTGACATTTCACCTGCATCTATGGAGCCCCTGGTGGCGCAGTGGGTTGAACCGGCAGGACTGAAGACCCACAGGTCGCAGGTTCGAATCCGGGGAGAGGCGGATGAGCTCCCTCTATCAGCTCCAGCTCCTCATGCGGGGACATGAGAGAAGCCTCCCACAAGGATGATAAAACATCAGATCATCCAGGCGTCCCCTGGGCAACATCCTTGCAGACGGCCAATTCTCTCACACCAGAAGCGACTTGCAGTTTCTCAGGTTGCTCCTGACACGACAAAAAAACAAACAAACCTGCATCTATGACCTCACAACCTCTCACAACCTCTGAGGATGCCTGCCATAGATGCAGGACAAACGTCAGGAGAGAATGCTTCTGGAACATGGCCATACAGCCCGGAAAACTCACAACAACCCAGTGATTCCGGCCATGAAAGCCTTGAACAACACAGAGACAACCATAAAAGGTAAAGGTTTCCTCTTTCCAGGAGCTGGGGCTAAAATGAGAACTCACCCCACTCCCTGGATTCAAACCGCCGACCTTTCAGTCAGCAAGTTCAGCACTGTGGTTTAATATTCTGCGTCACAGGGGGCTCCTAAGACAACCATAGTTGTTAACAAACAGGGACAAGTGCCCTGCGAACTAATGTTGTAATGTTTTCGTCTTTTTGCACTTAAAGGAAGAGTAAGAAAATTCTCTAAATGGTAAGAGTGGGTTATATTCATCAACAAGCTAATGCCCCTTCTACACTGCCATATACAATCCAGATTATCTGCTTTGAACTGGATTATATGGCAGTGTGGACTCTTATAATCCAGTTCAAAGCAGGTAATGTGGATTATCTGATTTGATAATCTGGATTATAGGAGCCCCCGGTGGTGCAGTGCATTAAACCTTTGAGCCAGCTGGACTAATGACTTGAAGGTTGGGTTGCTGACTTGAAGGTTGCTGGTTTGAGTCCAACCCGAGGAGATCATGGATGAGCTCCCTCTATCAGCTCCAACTCCATGCGGGGACATGAGAGAAGCCTCCCACAAGCATGGTAAAAACATCAAAAACATCCGGGCGTCCCCGGGGCAATGTCCTTGCAGACAGCCAATTCCCTCACACCAGAAGCGACTTGCAGTTTCTCAAGTTACTCCTGATATGAAAAAAATGGATTATATGGCAGTGTAAAAGGGGCCTGAGGCCCCTTCCACAGAGCTGAATAAAATCCCACATTATCTGCTTTGAACCAAGCTATATGGCAGTGTGGACTCAGGATAACCCAGTTTAAACCAGATATTGTGGATGATCTGCCTTGATATTCTGGGTTATATGGCTGTGTGGAAGGGCCCTGAGTCCACACTGCCATATAACCCAGTTCAAAGAAGATATTGTGGGATTTTCTGCCTTGATATTCTGAGTTATATGGCTGTGTGGAAGGGCCCTGAGTCCACACTGCCATAAAACCCAATTCAAAGGAGATTTTGTGGATGATCTGCCTTGATACTCTGAGTTATATGGCTGTGTGGAAGGGCCCTGAGTCCACACTGCCATATAACCCAGTTCAAAGCAGATATTGTGGATGATCTGCCTTAGTTATATGGCTGTGTGGAAGGGCCCTGAGTCCACACTGCCATATAACCCAGTTCAAAGAAGATATTGTGGGATTTTCTGCCTTGATATTCTGGGTTATATGGCTATGTGGAAGGGCCCTGAGTCCATACTGCCATAAAACCCAATTCAAAGGAGATTTTGTGGATGATCTGCCTTGATATTCTGAGTTATATGGCTGTGTGTAAGCGCCCCAAGTCCCACTCCACTCTTTTGCTGCCCAGTGTATTTCCTTTTGCTCCTTCTCTTCAGCTTCCCTCCTTTCCCAAGAACAGAAGAGCAAGAAGAAAGGCGTGCTTCTCTTTAAAGAGGACATATTCCCCCATTGGGACTGATTTGTTAGCTGGGTATAAAAATAAGCAGGGCTGGGCTTCCTTTGCAGCTGGTGCAGGACTTCTCCAGCCTCCAGATACTCTAGAGCACTGGTTCTCAACCTTGTTAATGCCGTGACCCCTTAATGCAGTTCCATATGTTGTGGTGACCCCCAACCATAATATTGTTTCATTGATACCTGTCATTTTACTACTTTATAAATCGTAATGTAAATATCCGATATGCAGGATGTATTTTCATTCACTGGACTAAATTGAGCACAAATACCAAATATGCCCAAATGTGAATGCTAGTGGGGTTGTGGGAGGATTGATTTTGTAATTTGGGAGTTGTAGTTGCTGGGATTTATAGTTCACCTATAATCAAAGAGCATTCTGAACTCCACCAGAGATGGATTTAAACTGAACTTGGCACACAAAACTCCCATGACAATTAGAAAACACTGGAAGGGTTTTATAGGCATTGACCTTGAGATTGGGAGTTGTAGTTCACCTATATCCAGAGGAGTGCTGTGGATTCATGCAGTGATGGATCTGGACCAAACTTGCCACGAATACTCAATATGCCCAAATGTGAACACTGGTGGAGTCTGGGGAAAATATTCCTTGACATTTTGGAGTTGTAGTTATTGGGATTTATAGTTCACCTATAATCAAAGAGCATTCTGAACTCCACCAGAGATGGATTTAAACCGAACTTGGCACACAAAACTCCCATGACGATTAGAAAACACTGGAAGGGTTTTGTGGGCATTGACCTTGAGATTGGGAGTTGTAGTTCACCTATATCCAGAGGAGTGCTGTGGATTCATGCAATGATGGATCTGAACCAAACTTGGCATGAATACTCAATATGCCCAAATGTGAACACTGGTGGAGTCTGGGGAAAATAGACCTTGACATTTTGGAGTTGTCGTTATTGGGATTTATAGTTCACCTACAATCAAAGAGCATTCTGAACTCCACCAACAATAGAATTGGGTCAAACTTCCCACACAGAATACCAATGACCAACAGAAAATACTATGTTTTCTGATGGTCTTTGGCGACCCCTTTGACACCCCCTCACGACCCCCTCAGGGGTCCCGACCCCCAGGTTGAGAAACACTGCTCTAGGGCTACTACTTCCATGCTTAGTGGAGCTGGCGGAAGACGGATTCCAACAACTGGAGGGCTTTGGCTTTTCTTTCTGCAGGGCAAGGATAGCTTGGGATATTTAAAACAGAAGATGAAGTTTTCAGGGTTTTTCTCCAGTACATGAATGGATAACCTTGATGTCCCGGTCAGCGTGACCAATAGAAAAGGATGGTGGGAGTCTCACTTTCAAATGTCTTCTTGATGGTCCAAGGTCCTTCACTGTTACTCTAGTAGCTTTTCTTCCTGTGTGACCCTCTTCTTTGGGGAAGGGACTAGTTGCACAAAAAAGAACAGGTACATAAGTAAGGCACACTTTCCTGAAAAGTCCTTGTACTTGTTCACATAATGGCAGCCCAAAGGCCTAGGACAATAGTCTATGCTGTCCTTCAAAGGTTTAAATCCAACAATGCCTCTTCTGTTTCACCTCAAGTCAAGGAGAAGCGCTGAAAGGAGACTCCAACTCCAGGGATGATAGAGGTTGGAGGTGTCCAGTTGTTGCTACCAGGAGCAGAGCCGTCCATTGTCACTCACAGATGTCCCTGTTCTGTTCCCGCTGGAGCTCTTCTTGGCTGCTGAGCAGAAAGTCATCCACAAAGGAAAAGAGTTCATCCGGTGTCACGGGCTCAATGTAGCGCTCGCGGTCCACCCCATCTTTGTCAACAAACACGACATTGAAGCGGTGACGGGTGATATGGAGGAACTGCCTGAGGAAACAAGATGGACATTGAGCAACAGGCTGCTATGACTCCTTAAACGTTTGTGGAACGGAATACTGTGTGATCTTGGAGTCCTCATGGACAACAAGTTAAACATGAGCCAACAATGTGATATGGCGGCAAAAAAAGCCAATGGGATTTTGGCCTGCATCAATAGGAGCCTAGTGTCTAGGTCCAGGGAAGTCATGCTACCCATGCTCTATTCTGCCTTGGTTAGACCACATCTGGAATATTGTGTCCAATTCTGGGCATCACAATTGAAGGGAGATATTGACAAGCTGGAAAGTGTCCAGAGGAGGGCGACTAAAACGATTAAGGGTCTGGAGAAGAAGCCCTATGAGGAGTGCCTTAAAGAGCTGGGTATGTTTGGGCCAATGGGCAGCAGCCAGGTTACTAACTGGAGCAACTAAAGGGAGCGGTCAACCCCCCTGTTTAAGGAGCTCCATTGGCTGCCATTCATTTTCCCGTCCCAATTGGAGGTGCAGGTTCATACCTACAAAGCCCTGAACGGTTTGGGACCCGCCTACTTGTGTGACCGCATTTCTGTGTACGAACTCACGCGATCTCTTCAATCATCTGGAGAGACCCTGCTCTCGCTCCCACCCCCTTTGCAGGCGCGATTGGTGGGGATGAGGGAGAGGGCCTTCTCTGTGGTGGCCTCCCGACTCTGGAACTCACTTCCTAAGGATATCAGGCAAGCCCCCACATTGGCAGTCTTTAGGAGGAGCCTGGAAAGGTGGCTGTTAATTACCCGTTGGGTTGCTCCCCCTACTTCTCATTTAAAACCCTCCTACTAGATACATCTTACATATGTTCAAGTCCAGCATTTATTTTAAAGTTTTAACTACTACATTTGGCCCGGCCATAGTTTTTTCTTTTAAATCTCTGTTTGTCTATATGTGAGTTATATTAATTGTATTGTTTATTTGCTTATTGCTTGTTGTTTTTATTGATGTGTTGTTGGGCTTGGCCTCATGTAAGCTGCTCCGAGTCCCCTTGCGGAGATGGTGGCGGGGTATAAATAAAGATTATTATTATTATTATTATTATTATTATTATTATTATTATTATTATTATGTTTAGCCTGAAGAAAAGAAGGCTGAGAGGAGAAATGATAGCCATGTATAAATGTGTGAGAGGAAGTCATAGGGAGGAGGAAGCAAGCTTGTTTTCTGCTTCCTTGGAGACTAGGATGTGGAACAATGGCTTCAAACTACAAGAAAGGAGATTCCATCTGAACATTAGGAAGAACTTCCTGAGTGTGAGAGCCGTTCAGCAGTGGAACTCTCTGCCCCGGAGTGTGGTGGAGGCTCCTCCTTTCGAAGCTTTTAAACAGAGGCTGGATGGCTATCTGTCGGGGATGCTTTGAATGCAATTTTCCTGCTTCTTGGCAGAATGGGGTTGGACTGGATGGCCCATGAGGTCTCTTCCAACTCTATGATTCTATGTGATCTAAGTGTCTTTGTTTCAAAGTGCATCTGGTCTATAAGTTTTCTTGGTGGTTTCAGCCACAACACTTCACCACCCTTTACTATTTCTCCATAATACCAGGGATGTCCTGGCATGGGGGCCGAGCCTAGAACAGTGGATTAAACCGCTAAGCCGCAGAAAGTCCTGCCAATCAAAAGGTTGGCAGTTCAAGCCTGGGTCGGGGTGAGCTCCTGCTGTCAGCCCAGCTTCTACTCACCTAGCAGATCGAAAACAGGTAGATAAATAGGTACTGCTTAAACAGGTAGATAAATAGGCAGATAAATAGGTACTGCTTTAAGCGGGGAAGTAATAAAAGGCGCCCATAAGGACATGCCGGTGACTCAACTGGGAGAACATCTATGGACAACAAAGCTCCTTGGCATGAAAGATGAAGTGACAGCACCTCCCTGTGGCCAGAGTCGAGCACAGCCCCCAGATGTCGGAAATTGAAAAATATGGGGAAAGCCTTTACATCTGTCTGTCCTTCTTAATTGTATAATGGCACTGAATATTTGCTATATATGTGTTCCGTAATCTGCCCTGAGTCCCCTCGGGGAGATAGAGCAGAATATGGCCATGGTAGTCCACGCTCTGGTTACATCCTGCCTAGACTACTGCAATGCTCTCTACATGGGGTTGCCTTTGAAGACGGCTCGGAAGCTTCAACTAGTCCAATGTGCGGAAGCCATGATTCTAACAGGAGCGGAACGCAGGGAGCATACAACCCCCCTGTTGCGCCATCTCCACTGGCTACCGATTTGCTACCAGGCTCAATTCAAAGTGCTGGTGTTGACTTTTAAAGCCCTAAATGGTTCCGGCCCAAGCTACCTATCTGACCGCATCTCGGCCTATGTACCCACCAGGACTTTAAGATCTTCTGGGGAGGCCCTGCTCTCGATCCCGCCAGCTTCACAAGCACGGCTGGCGGGGACGAGAGATAGGGCCTTCTCGGTGGTGGCTCCCCGGCTGTGGAACGCCCTTCCCATGGACATTAGATTAGCACCATCTCTGGTGATATTCTGCAAAAAAGTAAAGACCTGGTTGTTTGTGCAAGCGTTTGAGTAGTTAGTGCAATGATTGGTAATGACATAGGAATGGAACAATGGATGACGGATCTGGATTGTGTTTTTAGTGATGAGACATTAGTGAATGGTTATTATAGTAATTGTGTACTAACTGTGTATTAGATATGTTGTTAACTGTTTTTTATATTGGTGCATTGAATTTTGCTGTTTCCTATGTGCTGTGAACTGCTGTGAGTCGCCTCCGGGCTGAGAACAGCGGTATAGAAGTAAAGTAAAGTAAAGTAAGTAAGTAAATAAATAAATAAATAAATAAAGTATATTATTATTATTTGAAACACAACAAGATGTATCCACAGCAGACACTCTGCTGGCTGTTGCATTGGATCACATGTCGGACACTTCCCAAGTGTCTAGGACCGTGTCATGTATCAGTGAATAACGTGTGCAGATCCCAGTAAGGTGGCCTTCTACAGCTGGCAGATGGTAATTTTGTCAGTGCCAATTATGTTTAAGTGCAGGCCAAGGACTTGAGGCACTGCACCCAGTGTGCCAATCACCACTGGGACCACCTTGACTGGCTTGTGGCAGAGGCTTTGCAATATATTTTTGTTGCTGTTGCTGTTGTTGTTGTTGTTATTATTATTATTATTATTATTATTATTATTATTATTATTATTACCTTCCTTACAAATACACTGTTGTGAAGACATAAATATGTGTTTGAAGTGTTTTTTGAGCTCTTCTAATTAGCAGGGATTCATTGCCAGGTTTTATTATTATTAATAATACATCATGCTAAACTGAGGACTTCTTCCTCTGTGTGAACTAGGAGTGTCATAGTGCATTTCAGAGTTGCAAGCCATGGTGACCTTGATCACTTGTGTTGATAGCAAGGTGTATAGTGGAAATACTTTTGAATGTAAAGGAAGTATTGCCTGTAATAACGGTGTGGGAATCAATGAGTTGGAAGAGACCCCAAAGCCATCCAATCCAACCCACCATCATGCAAGAACACACAATCAAAACATCCCAGACAGAGGGCCATCCAATCTCTGTTCCAAAACCTCCAGAGAAGGAGGCTCCACCACACTCGGAGACAGCAGCAGATTCCACTGTTAAACAACTGCTGCCATCCTAATATTCAAGTTGAACCTCTTTTTCTGTGGTTTGGAGCCATTGCTCAATGACGCAATCTCTACAGCAGCAGAAAGCAAGCGTGCTCCCTTCTCAATATGACATCCTTTCAAATATTTAAAATGTCAATGTCAATGTTGACCCAAACTCGGTGCACTGACTCTCCCGTTTAACTCCCCACTAACCTGAGCTGCTCAATGATGGTGTCTGAAAGCTTATGCTCGCGGATCCTGCCCACTTCATGGGGTGGCTGCCCCACCAGCTCAATGACGGAGATATGACGCAAGTCCAGTCCACACGTGGCTTGCTACAATGAAGAGAAAGGGGTTGGTCAGTGCTTGAGAGAGAAGGGAGAAACCACAATGGAAGCTGTAAGAATGGGATCCCACCTGCAACATGGCATGCTGCATTTTGTAATAGCGGTCAGAGGGATCTGGAGCAGAGATGATGAGTAGCCGGCGCTTTTCGTAGAACTGATCCAAAAGGCTGGCAGCAGAGTTTACATCCACGTTGATCTGCATGGCTAAAGGAAAAGGAGAAAAAGAGAGGAGTAGAATATTTATTTATTTATTTATTTATTTATTTATTTATTTATTTATTTATGTACAACATTTATATGCTGCCCTTCTCACCCCGAAGGGGACTCAGAGTGGCTTACAAGTAATACACAATACAATGAATACAATATCCTCCTGGACCCCTCCTTTTACTCTGGTGTTGGAGGGAGGGGCTCCCAACTGATGACACTGAAGACAAGATGGTATTGTCTTCTTGGCATATGTAAATACAATATAATATATTATTACCATAGCACAATATTAGTATTACATATTACTATATTGTACTATACCATTATACTGTAATATTATTGGTAATATTACATGCAATATAAAATATATAATTATACTATTGTATTATTATTATTATTATTATTATTATTATTATTATTATTATTATGGAGCCCCCGGTGGCGCAGTGGGTTAAACCCCTGTGCTGGCAGGACTGAAGACCAACAGGTCGCAGGTTCGAATCCAGGGAGAGGTGGATGAGCTCCCTCTATCAGCTCCAGCTCCTCATGCGGGAACATGAGAGAAGCTTCCCACAAGGATGATAAAACATCAAATTATCCGGGCATCTCCTGGGCAACGTCCTTGCAGACGGCCAATTCTCTCACACCAGAATTGACTTGCAGTTTCTCAAGTCGCTCCTGACACGACAAATGATAATAATAATAATAATAATAATAATAATTAGTAGTATTATATTATGTTGTTGTTGTTGTTCATTCGTTCAGTCATTTGCAACTCTTCGTGACCTCCTGGACCAGCCCAAGCCAGAGCTCCCTGTCGGCCGTCACCACCCCCAGCTCCTTCAAGGTCAATCCAGTCACTTCAAGGATACCATCCATCCATCTCGCCCTTGGTCGTCCCCTCTTCCTTTTTCCTTCCATTTTCCCCAGCATCATCGACTTCTCCAAGCTTTCCTGTCTCCTCATGATGTGGCCAAAGTATTTCATCTTTTCCTCTACTATCCTTCCCTCCAATGAGCAGTCGGACTTTATTTCCTGGAGGATGGACTGGTTGGATCTTCTCGCGGTCCATGGCACTCTCTGAATTTTCCTCCAGCACCACAGCTCAAAAAGTATCTATCTTCCTTCGCTCAGCCTTCCCTATAGTCCAGCTCTCACATCCGTAGGTGACTACGGGGAATACCTTTGCTTTTGTATTACATTACATTACATATATTGTATTACATTATAATATTATCAATATTATATGTATATACAACATATTATATTACAGTGTTCCCTCACTTATTGCAGGGGTTACATTCCAGGACCTCCTGCAATAATTGAAAAAACGTGATGGAGGGAGGCTCTATTTATTTTAATATTTATACATGATTTTAGTAGTTATATACTATTTTAACTCTTTATAAACTTAAAATAAAGTGAAGGAAAGGAAGGAAAAGCCCTTCAAGGCCGGAGGAAGGGAGAGAGGACTGAGGAGGGAAAGCGCCTTGGAGAACAGTGGCAGCAAAAACCCGTGAAACAGTGAAAATACAGCAATATATATTTTAAATTAATATTTTTTGAAATCCGCGAAACAGCAAGTCGGCAATAAGCAAATTGCGAAGTAGCAAGGGAATACTGTCTATTATATTATTAGCACAGTGCAGGAGACAAGGTGGAACTGTCTTCCTGCCCCTCGCCCTTCACTCTGGTTCCAGATCAGCAGTTAGTGCTGGACGGGGGGAGGGTTCCCAACTGATGACAATGTGGAACTGATCCCGTTCCACAGCTATTCATGGCTTCCCTTATTTATTTATTTGTTTATTTATTTACTTCATTTGTATACCGCTTTTCTCAGCCCTTAGGCGACTCAAAGCGGTTAACAGTAGCAAAAATTAAATGCTAAACATCATAAAAACAGTTAACGGACAATTAAAACAATAACATAGTAAACAATTAAACATCAATATAACATCTCATTAGCGTCTCATCAGTAGAATCAATCTCATCATCCATTATTCCGTATTCCTATATTCATTACACTGCCTATTCAAATGCCTGCTTGAACAACCAGGTCTTCGCTTTCCTCCGAAATGCCAATAGGGAGGGGGCCAATCTAATATCTGTAGGAAGGGCGTTCCACAGCCGAGGGGCCACCACTGAGAAGGCCCTGTCTCTCATCCCCGCCAGACGTACATGTGTTGCAGGCGGGACCAAGAGCAGGGCCTCCCCAGATGATCTTAGTGTCCTAGCTGGTTCATAGGAGGAGATGCGTTCGGACAGGTAAGTTGGGCCAAAACCGTTTAGGGCTTTATAAGCTAATGCCAGCACTTTGAATTGTGCCCGGTAGCAGACTGGTAGCCAGTGGAGCTGGCGCAACAGAGGAGTTGTTTGCTCCCTGAGTGCCTCTCCTGTTAGTATCCTGGCTGCTGAACATTGGACCATTTGAAGCTTCCGAGCAGTCTTCAAAGGCAACCCCATGTAGAGAGCGTTGCAGCAGTCTATACGGGATGTAACCAGAGCGTGGACTACCATGGCTAAGTCAGACTTCCCAACGTACAGGCGCAGCTGGCGCACAAGTTTTAACTGTGTGAATGCTCCCTTGGTCACTGCTGAAACCTGGGGTTTCAGGCTCAGTGATGAGTCCAAGATCACACCCAAACTGCAAACCTGCGTCTTCAGGGGGAGTGTGACCCCGTCCAACACAGGCTGTAACCCTATGCCCTGTTCGGCCTTGCGACTGCCCAGGAGTACCTCTGTCTTGTCTGGATTCAATTTCAATTTGTTCGCCCTCATCCAGACCGTTACAGCGGCCAAGCACCGGTTCAGGACCTGAACAGCCTCCTTAGTAGCAGGTAAGAAGGAGTGACAGAGTTGGACATCATCCTTACCTGTGTTCCAAAATATATTCCTCCAAGAAGTGCTTATTGGCCAGTCTTGAGTATTCCATGTGATTCTATCATATGCTTCCAGTTCAGGCATAATTAAAAATAGAGGATTGTTAACTGTTCACACTTTTGGGTATCTATATGGGATGGTGGTAGTTGCAGTGTCTTGAAATGTATCCCTCGTTGATATGGGTATTATGCTTTCCGCTGAATCAGGGTTGACTCAAGACCTATTCCTGCCAGCATATCCAAGTCACAATGCCTTGAGGACCCACTACTGGACAAGTTCTTTGGTACATGAGGACAGAGAAACCTAGTAAAAATCAGCTGCTGCCTTTTCATGACATCCAAAACCTCAACCCGAGGTAACCACACCACTCTGATTAATGGCAAGATCTGCCTTGTGTGGATGCTACAATGTCAACAGCACAGGAAAGCGGAGTCTGAAGATCCCATGACCCTCAATGATCTCGCTTTGGCTCTTCCATAGTTTTTTAGAGGAACGCAGCCAGAAGTTGCAGCTGTTGATTATCTAACTAGATGAGGAAGCTTTTTCCTACCAAGACCAAAAACATCTGGATGCTAAAAATAAGTTGGTGTAAGGGGCAGACTTGGAACAGATGGGCTTTGAAAGGGTCTTGTGTGTCACTTCTAATGATATCTCCTCTCTGTGATGATTTTCAAATGGGGTTCTAGATGCGCCTCCCCTACAACCTCAGAAACACTTACGTGCACAGGTGGGCTCCGAGCCTGACCACTGGCGACTCGACTGGCAGACCCGCAAAGGGGAACCTTGGCGTTCATATCCTCCACCGCACTGATACTCGCAGGTTGCTCCATAGTTGTTGCCCGCAGAGTCGCAGCTGATGTATCCGTGCTCCGGCGCCTTCAAAACAGGACAGCGACTAACTGCCAAAGAGAGTTAGTCAAGAATGAGAAGGCAAATGGACATAAAACTAAGAGCACAGAGAGGCCCTGAGATTCGAACATCTCTTGAAGAATGCCCCAGAGCTATGGGTGAAAATACTGCAAAGTCCTCTTGTGCTACAATTATTATTATTATTATTATTATTATTATTATTATTATTATTATTTACAATATTTATAGCCTGCCTTTCTCAGCCATACGGCGACTCAAGGCAAGTTACAGATTGGCACAATTTGATGTCAGGAATTAATAAAAGTGCAATTAAAAACAATCAACATCACAATATAAAACATAAATAAAAACTGTTAAAGCATATAATCATCGGTGTCATCCTGTTAAAAACGTTATCCAGTAACATCGTCTGGCCATTCCTTGTTCATCATTCATAGTTCCATGTTATCTATTCCGCTGCATTCTCAAAAGCTTGCTCAAAGAGCCAGGTCTTTACTTTTTTCAGAAAGTCAGAAGGGAGGGGGGCGATATAATATCTCTACGGAGGGAGTTCCATAGCCAGGGGGCCACCACTGAGAAGGCCCTGTCCTTCATCTCTGCCAATTCCACTTGCAAGGCAGGTGGGATCAAGAGCAGGGCCTCCCCAGACGATCTTAAGCTCCTAGATGGTTCATAGGAGGAGATACGTTCAGACATGTAAGTTGGGCCAAAATCGTTTAGGGCTTTATAGGCTAAAGCCAGCACTTTGAATTGTGCTCGGTAGCAAATTGGCAGACAGTGGAGCTGACACAACAGAGGAGCAGCGTGCTCCCTGAGCACTGCTCCTGTTAGTAACCTGACTGCCACCTTTTGGACCATTTGAAGCTTCCAAACAGTCTTCAAGGGCAACCCCATGTAGAGCACGTTGCAGTAATCTATTCGGGATGTAACAAGCGCATGGACCACCATGGCCAAGTCAGACTTCCCAACGTGAGTAGAGAGAACATCTAAGCATTAGGGAATATGATCTAGGACAGTTGGTATCACAGACCAAAGTGTGCCTGCCATGTAAGGTGGGTGGACAGTTGTGGGGGGTTCAGGGACTATTTTGGAAGCCATAGACTTGCTATCTGTCTGACTATTTTCTGCCAAGAGTAGCAATTTGGACTAGTACACAAATCCAAGTACTGTATGTTATTTTGGCATCTCAGGCAGGAAAACTCTGAAACACCTCTCTTTGACCCTGACAGTAGAAGTACAATAGCAACAAATCAACTAAACAATGGTTGGTTGCCTTTTCATGACGCTGGAAACCCATTGTCTGCGGTCAGCACTCGTCCTCCCATGCTCATTTGCAGGTAGCAGAAGCCTTGAGAAAGCGAAGCATGAGAAATAGGTGAAAAGAAAGACACTGATGAGGGATACTCAGACCAGAGACATGTTCCAGTGTAGGTCATTCTAAGCAAGTCACTGGTAAAAGGAATGGCTGAGTAGCAATTTAGAAATGTACGCCAGCTTCCTGGCTGGTTTACAACTGGAAGTCATAGCTCCGGTCTACAAATCCTGTGTGGAATTCAGTGCCAAACCACATATGACTTTTAAAGCGTGGTTTCCATAGCCTTCCCTCCCTTGCCCCAGAAAGCAGGGGAAATGATTCAGAATGGGATGTCTGACTCTGGGTGGTGCTGCTCATCTCCATTTCTAAGTTGAAGAGCTGGCATTGTCCGTAGACACCTCCAATGTCATGTGGCCAGCATGACTGCATGGACCATTGTTACCTTCTCGCCGGAGTGGTACCTATTGATCTACTCTCATTTACATGTTTTCGAACTGCTAGGTTGGCAAAAGCTGAGGCTGACAGTGGAAGCTCACGCCGCTCCCTGGATTCGAACCTGTGACAGTGTCCTATTTTCTATTTACCTTGGACTCTCACAGAAAACTTGCAGCTCGCTCGGTTGAATGCCTGGTCGTAGACGGTGTAGCGAATAATGTGTTCTCCTTCGGAAAACTCAGATCCGGGTTCTGGGCCTCGGAGCGTCATTCTGGATTTAAAACACAAAGAACTATGTCGGAGGCAGCATGCCAAGCTCTGGTTTGGAAGGTTTTCTGACCTTTAGGGTTTCTCTGCTAAAGGAATGCATCCATCCCAGCTGAAGGACCCCAAGCTCACCGTTTGATGATGCCGTCAGCTGAGTCCTTGGCCCGGGGTGGGTCCCAGAACACAACGGCCGTCAGTTTCCCTGGCTCTGCCAGTCGCTCTCGGGAGTCGGGACATTGGATTTTGGGTGGCTCTATGTCTGCTTGGGTAGAAGAGGAAAGGAATTGCATAAAGACAAGCAAGACAGAGAGAGAGAGAGAGAGAGAGAATTTCTATTTCAGACTAGACCGTTTCCCTCCCTCTTTTTGTTCATCATGATACGGCCCTGGTGGTATAGCAAGTCAAACCACTGATGAACCTGCTGACCAAATGGCCGATGATTCAAATCCGAGGAGCGGGGTGAGCTCCCACTGTTAGCTCCAGTTTCCACCAACCTAGCAGTTTGAAAACATGCAAATGTGAGTAGATCAATAGGTACCACTTTGGTGGGAAGGTAACAGTGCTCCAAATAGTTTTGGCTGGTGTTACATGTATAAAATGTACCTATTCCGACTTACAAACAAATTCAACTTAAGAACAAGCCTACAGGAACTATCTTGCTCGTAACTTCGTAACTTCCTGTACTAACTCATAAAATTATATAAAGCGCATTAGCTCCCTGGTGGCATACGGGTTAAACTGCTGAGCTGCCGAACTTGCTGACCAAAAGGTTGGCAGTTCGAATCCAGAGAGCAGGGTGAGCTCCTGCTGTTAGTCTCAGCTTCTGCCAACTTAGCAGTTCGAAAACATGCAAATGTGAGTAGATCAATACGTACTGCTTTTGCGGGAAAGTAACAGCTCTTCATGCAGTCATGCTGGCCACATGACCTTGGAGGTGTATATGAACAACGCCGGCTCTTTGGCTTAGAAATGGAGATGAGCACCATCCCCCAGGGTCGGACTTGACTAGACTTAATGTCAAGGGGAAACTACTTTGTAGTTTGTGTCACTGCTATGAGCAATGCTTACTTTCTCTTGTACTTCAGCCAATTTATTGATTTACGACATTTATATGCCGCCCTTCTCACCCCGAAGGAGACTCAGAGCAGCTTACAAGATATATATATACATACATACACATACAGACAATATATTATATTATTAGCATAGTACAATATCAGTATTAAATATAACTATATTTTATTATACCATTATATTGTAATATAATATTGTAATTATTGTATAATAATATTGTGATTCAATTGACATCGATGTAAATGGCAGCATTTCCCCATAATCATAACAATCATTGTATTAGATTGTTTGTCATCACAGTTTTTCGACAACTTATTAGGAAGCTTTGCAACAGCACTCGTGTACCGTTTTGTACCAGAAAGGTAAGCAGCTTTTTTGGGGGTGAAAATTCCCAGAAAGCAACTTTTCCAAATTGTCAAAGGAATGGAGGGGGTGGGGTGGGGGTCAGTAATGTTTCTTGTTGATCTCTGGATGCAAGACAACAAATGGTGGCTCCAGAAAGGGTGAGAATTTACCTACACAAATTGGCTCGCCGCCACTCCAGTGTCCATCCTCCATGCACACGCGACTGCGATCACCCTCCAGGGAGTAGCCAGGCCGGCAGGTATAGTCGCAGTGAGAGTCCACCTTTGCTCCATCTGAACATTGGTACGAACCATGATAAACCGATGGCAAAGTATGGCACCGGATCTCTGCAGACAGAAGCAAACCCCACTTAGGCAGAAAAAAATGAAATGCAAAGATACAGAATGGGGGACGTGTGGCTCGAGAGCAGTACGTGTGACAAAATCTTGGAGTCCTCGTGTTATGTGATGGCGGAAAAAGCCAATGGTATTTTGGCGTGCATCAATAGGAGTCTAGTGTCTAGATCCAGGGAAGTCATGCTCCTCATGCTCTATTCTGCCTTGGTTAGACCACACCTGAAATACTGTGTCCAATTCTGGGCACCACAATAGAAGAGAGATATTTACAAGCTGGAATGTGTCTGGAAGAGGGCGACTAAAACGATCAAGGGTCTGGAGAACAAGCCCTATGAGGAGCAGCTGAAAGAGCTGGACATGTTTAGCCTGAAGAAGAGAAGGCTGAGAGGAGACATGACAGCCATGTATAAATATGTGATAGGAAGTTATAGGGAGGAGGGAGGAAGCTTGGTTTCTGCTGCCCTGGAGACTAGGACAATGTTTGCCCATGCATGATCTAGACCAGGGGTCCTCAAACTAAGGCCCAAGGGCCGGATGCAGCCCTCCAAGGTCATTTACCCGGCCCTTGCACAGGGTCAACCTAAGTCTGAAACGACTTGAAAGTACACAACAATAACAATCCTTTCTCATCAGCCAAAAGCAGGCCCATACTTCCCATTGAAATACTAATAAGTTTATATTTATATAAACTTATTAGTATGAGTCGCCTGCAGGCTGATATGGGCGGGATATAAATAATGTAAATAAATAAATAAATAAATAAATTTGTTGACATTGTTCTTCATTTTAATTATTGTATTGTTTTTAAGTGTTTTTTGCATTACCAATAAGATATGTCTAGTGTGCATAGGAATTCATTCATGCTTTTTTCAAATTATAATCCAGCCCTTCCAACAGTTTGAGGGATTGTGACCTGACCCTCTGTTCAAAAAGTTTGAGGACCCCTGGTCTAGACTAATTCAATCTCTGAATCTGGACTATCTGCTTTGAACTGGATTATATGAGTCATCATTGCCATATGATCCAGTTCAAAGCAGACAACCTGGATTCAGAAACTGGATTATCTGGAAGTGTGGATGGGGCCTCCCTTTGTATATGTGTATGCATGATGTACACACCATAACATCAAGTTAATACATTTCTTGAAGACATGGCTATTGTGGGGTCTGGCCACAGGATCCTCCACTTACGTCTGCAGTAGGCCATCCCAGACCAGCGGCGGTTCTGCAAGCATTGCACGGACCTCTGGCCGATCAAGCGGTATCCGCGGTCGCAGGAAAGCTCACAGCGGGTCCCCAGGCTGCTTCGATAGTTTCCTCCGTGGGGAGAATAGCAGGCAGCCTCCCCGTGGTAAATGTTGAGCAGGTGACACCACTGCGGGACTAAAAAGAAGGAGAGAAACCACTGAAAGTGCTACTGGTCAAGAGCAAAGGCTGTCAACGTCTGAAGGACAACACTGGCACCCCCATGACAGTCTCTTTCTTGTCTTGCTCCAGATGATCTCAGATTTGGAAATAACATGAATAATACATAATACTGGTAGTCAGATATGGTTCATTTACAGTATTAAAAAACTCTGAAATCAGGACAGTATATAAACAGCAACACTAAAAAAAGGGAAATCCAGACAAGAATCAATCATGGCCAGCTAACACCTCCCAACAAAGGATTCTCCCAGGCAGCAATCAGGCAGCCTTTGAAGCTGCAAGGCCATTCAATGCTATCAAGTGGCCAATAGCAGTCAAGCAGACAAGAGTTCTTTCTCCCACCCTGGACATTATTCAGACAAGAATCAGTCACGGCCAGCTAACACCTCCCAACAAAGGATTCCCCGGGCAGCAATTAGCCAGGCTTTGAAGCTGCAAGGCCATTCAATGCAAATCAAGGTGACCAGTTGCAATGTTCACACTTGCCTCAAACAGACCAGAGTTCTTTCTCCCACCCTGGACATTATTCAGACAAGACTAAATCACAACAAGCTAACACCTCCCAACAAAGGATTCCCCCAGGCAGCAATTAGCCAGGCTTTAAAGCTGCAAGGCCATTCAATATTAATCAAGGTGGCCAGTTGCAACATTCACACCTGCCTCAAACAGACAAGAGTTCTTTCTCTCACCCTGGACATTATTCAGACAAGAATCAACCACGGCCCACTAACACCTCCCAACAAAGGATTCCCCCAGTCCGCAATTAGCCAGGCTTTGAAGCTGCAAGGCCATTCAATGCAAATCAAGGTGGCCAGTTGCAACATTCACACTTGCCTCAAACAGACAAGAGTTCTTTCTCCCACCCTGGACATTATTCAGACAAGAATCAATCACAGCCAGCTAACACCTCCCAACAAAGGATTCCCCCAGGCAGCAATTAGTCAGGCTTTGAAGCTGCAAGGCCATTCAATGCAAATCAGGGTGACCAGTTGCAACGTTCACACTTGCCTCAAACAGACCAGAGTTCTTTCTCCCACTCTGGACATTACTCAGACAAGACTAAATAACAACCAACTAACACCTCCCAACAAAGGATTCCCCCAGGCAGCAATTAGCCAGGCTTTGAAGCTGCAAGGCCATTCAATGCAAATCAAGGTGGCCAGTTGCAACATTCACACTTGCCTCAAACAGACAAGAATTCTTTCTCCCACCCTGGACATTATTCAGACAAGAATCAATCACAGCCAGCTAACACCTCCCAACAAAGGATTCCCTCAGGCAGCAATTAACCAGGCTTTGAAGCTGCAAAGCCATTCAATACTAATCAAGGTGGCCAATTGCAACATTCACACCTGCCTCAAACAGACAAGAGTTCTTTCTCCCACCCTGGACATGATTCCACATATATATAAACCCCACTCGCCTAATTTCCAACAGCCCTCACAACCACTGAGGATGCCTGCCATAGATGCAGGCAAAACATCAGGAGAGAATGCTTCTGGAACATGGCCAGACAGCCCAGAAAACTCACAGCAAGCAAATCTTTTTTCTCATGCGGTATTACATTTGTTGTCATTTGTTATCAACTGTAACCAACTGTTGATTTCCAAAACGAGAGAGCATTTCCCCTTGGACTGTAACTATGCTGTTCTACTCACCATCCTTCCCCATGAAGTCACGTGTGGACAAGAATCCTGAATGATTCTTGCCTGGATTTCCCTTGCTATTTGGTTGTGAGAGATGGCACTCAGCACATGCTCCATGGAATTAGCTTCACTTTTGTCCCTTTCGGTCCCAAAGAGCTGCAGTTTAGTCTCAGGCTTGATATATCTCCAGCCAGCTGTCCCCAATTGGACATTTTTGCAAATTTGTTTTGAATTCAGCAACCACTGCAAATTAGTTTTGTCTTGACGATTCCTTTAATAGCTATTCATTTTTCCAGGGCCAACTAATCCACAAAGCTGTTGGCTGTCCCTTTGGGACCCCATGGCTGGCATTCTCCAGACTGGTGGGAGCTGGCAATCCAGTTTCTATCCATTGCTTACATTTATTTAGGCTTTACTTCACAATACAAACTTGCTGCTGGAAGTCCACCATAAATACCTAGCTCTGCTTTATGTGTTCTCATTATCCAAAAAGATGAAGGTCCTGATCACTTAATCGATGCTAGATGTCCCTGCTCAAATTAGTGCAGTCCTAGATTCATAGAGAAACAGCACTTCAGTGGGAATATAATGCCTATTTTGTCCCACTTATTATTGTCCTACTTATTTTTCCCCAGAATATTCATGCCATCTCTCTTTCAGTTGTTTGCTTCTAATATTGGGTGGCTGTGGGGACTGTCTAGGCATGTTCCAGAAGCATTATCTCCTGATGTTTTGCCTGCATCTATGGCAGGCATCCTCAAAGGTTGTGAGGTCTGTTGGAAACTAGACAGGGGGGTTTATATATCTGTGGTGGGAGGAAAAAACTCTTGTCTGCTTGAGGCAAGTGCGAATGTTGCCATTGGCCAGCTTGTTTAGCACTGAATGGCCTTGCAGCTTCAAAGCCTGTCTTGGGGGTATTCTTTGTTGGGAGGTGTTAGCTGGCCCTGATTGTTTCATGTCAGGATTTCCCCTGTTTTTTCTGTTCCTCTTTATTCCTCTTTACATGGAAATGAACAAAACCTGGCTACCAGTATTTTAAAAAAACTCAATCAAGACAGTAAATAAAGAGGAGGACTTCCCTGATACACACTGGGTTAAAGCGCTGAGATGCTGAATGTGGTGACTGTTCTGTCGTGCGCTGGGCCTGTAAAGAATGTGCAACCTTTGCCCAGCGGGAAGACAGGGGCCTCAAAGAGAAGTTCTCAGAGGTTTTCCACCACAAATAGTCTTTAGATGGATTGTGAAGTACAACAAAGTCTTTTATTAATGAACAATCAAATGGAAACTTCTCTTGTCTTCAGAAAGATAAACAAACGTTTCCAGGCTTTTATGCAACTGGTAGCTTCCTAAACTTGCCCACGAAGGACAGGCACCTGTCTTCAACAACTTCTTCTTTACTTTAAAGGAAACTCCCCTTTTTAATTTCTCCCAGGCTGACTGTAATCTAACCCTTACTGATGTGGGCTCCGCTACCGGGTCGAACTGCTTCTCGAACGCCGAGTGGACCTACCAGTAAAGGCTTAGATGTTCTCCAGCTGGAGTACTTTGGTCTTTAGGGCTGTTTCCCTGGAAATCTTTGGAGACTCTTAAGACTGTTCTCCCCCGGAAGTTCTTGATGCTCTTAAGACTGTTTCCCCCCAGAAAGTCTTAAGGGTTGAAGCTTTTGTACAGGGGAAGCTTGCACACGTCCTTTATTTATTTATTTATTTATTTATTTATTTATTTATTTATTTCTTATACTTGTATACCGCCATTTCTCAGCCCGACCGGCGACTCAACGCAGTTTACAACAAGGATAAAATCAACAAAAATATACAATGTAAAACCACAAAGGCATAAAATACAATATTAATCCAACAATAAACAACACAATGCATCTCATAACTAAAATCATGATCCAGTTCGTCGTCCAATTTTCCAATTCCTGTAATCATCACATTGGTTGCACTGTTTAACCGAATGCCCGTTCAAACATCCAGATTTTTAATCTTCTTCGGAACACCATCAGCGAGGGGGCTGATCTTACTGTACATCGGCTTTCCTTGCTGAGACTAACTGACAATGGCTCCCTTCCCTTCCCAATTGCCCTGAGCATGGGGCGGAACCAAAACTTAACGATGATGGACAGGTGACCTGCCCTATGACTGCAACCAAAGTAAGCCACCTGTCTGCAGAGTCCCTGAAACCTTGGACTGCAAGCAAACATTTAATACAAAGCAAATAAAGTTGGAGCTCCTGGTACAGCCGTACCAGAACAGTGACCGAAAGGTTGGCAATTCAAATCCGGGGAATGGGGTGAGCTCCCATTGTTAGCCCCAGCTTCTGCCAATCAAGCAAGATGAAAACATGCAAACGTGAGTAGATCAATAGGTACAATATATTATTATAATGTAATGCATTATAATACTAATACTAATAAAATGATAATTTTATAATTATATATATATTACATGTAATATTACTAATAATATTACAATATAATTGTATAATACAATATAGTAATATTTAATTCTGATACTATACTATGCTAATAATATAATATATTGTATTTATATATATTTTGTAAGCCGCTCTGACTCCCCTTCAGGGTGAGAAAGGTGGCATATAAATGTAGTAAATTAATTAATTAAATAAATAAATAATAATCAGGGTCAGCTAATACCACCCAACAAAGGATTCCCCCAGACAGCAAGCAGCCAGGCTTTGAAGCTGCAAAGCCATTCAGTGCTATTGTTGAAGGCTTTCATGGTCAGAATCACTGGGTTGTTGGTTTTTTCGGGCTATATGGCCATGTTCTAGAGGCATTCTCTCCTGACGTTTCGCCTGCATCTATGGCAAGCATCCCAGAGGTTGTGACCCAGTGATTCCAGCCATGAAAGTCTTCGACAACACATTGCCCTAGGAAAGGTTTCTAAAAGGGTTCAAACTTTATCCGTTTTTTAAAAAAGCATACCTCGATATTCTGGGCCATGACGATGGGATGTTTCCTCAACGTGAACTTCATTGGTTTGCCTTTCTGCGGCAGAGTAGCCAGATCCTAGCAACAAGGGAGTAAAACAAGGCGTGAATGACGCTTGCCAGACTAACCACGATTTCCTTTCTTTCCCAAATCAGAATACCATCACATCATCATGTTATGGGCCAAGTCGAAATGTAATGCAAGCTAATGGTCCAACTGATGAGGGAAAATTATTCCTGCTTTCTTTTGGGTATTTCTTTTAAATACTTTCTATTATTTGTTTTTCTGAAACCTTGCAACATGAAAGGATGCATTTCGTACAGCAATATGAGGATTACATGCTAAAAAGAATTGTAATTTATCCAAGCTGTGAAACACTCTTACTATTGGGTTGCTGTGAGTTTTCCAAGCTGTCTGACCACGTTCCAGAAGCATTCTCTCCTGACATTTCTCCCACATCTATAGCAGGCATCCTCAGAGGTCTGTTGGAAACTAGTCAAGTGAGCTTTATATATATCTGTGGAACGATGTCCAGGGTGGGAAAAAGAACTCTTGTCTGTTGGAGGCAATTGTGAATGTTGCAATTGGACACCTTGATTAGCAATGAATGGCCTTGCAGTTTCAAAGCCTGGCTGCTTCCTGCCTGGGAGAATCCTCTATCTATCTATCTATCTATCTATCTATCTATCTATTTATCTATCTATCTATCATCTATCTATCTATCTGTGGAATGATTTCCAGGGTGGGAGAAAGAACTCTTGTCTGTTGGAGGCAAGTGTAAATGTTGCAGCTGGCCAGCTTGATTAGCATTGGATAGCTTTGCAGCTACAAAGCCTAGCTGCTTCCTGCCTGGGAGAATCCTATATATATATATCTGTGGAATGATGTTCAGGGTGGGAGAAAGAACTCTTGTCTGTTGGAGGCAAGTGCGAATGTTGCAATTGGCCAGCTTGATTAGCATTGGATAGCTTTGCAGCTTCAAAGCCTGGCTGCTTCCTGCCTGGGAGACTCATCTATCTATCTATCTATCTATTTATCTATCTATCTGTGGAATGATGTCCAGGGTGGGAAAAAGAACTCTTGTCTGTTGGAGGGAAGTGTGAATGTTGCAACTGGCCACCTTGATTAGCAATGAATGGCCATGCAGCTTCAAAGACTGGCTGCTTCCTGCTTCCTGCCTGGGGGAATCCCCCCCCTCTCTCTCTATGGAATGATGTCCAGGGTGGGAGAAAGAACTCTTGTCTGTTGGAGGCAAAAGTGAATGTTGCAACTGGCCACCTTTGGTTAGCAATGAATGGCCTTGCAGCTTCAAAGCCTGGCTGCTTCCTTCCTGAGGGAACCCTTTCTAGTGTTATGAAGTATAGTGGCATGCTGTTATGGCTGTTGGGTCAGCATCCTTGGTCCAACCAATTGCTTACTAATAACCAGAGAGTAAAAGTTGGCAGGTAAGGATTAGAAAGTCATCTGAATGGTCTGGAAAAGAGTATTTGCACATACAGAGTGAAGCATAATAGTTAAGTTGGTCAGCACCAGACTAAACAGTTTTGCATTCCAGGTTCCTTAAGCACAGGAAATGACACAGCAGCAGTTCTATTCATCTCCAGGCAGACAACCGACCGTTCACTTCAGTAGGAGGCCCAGGACTGTTTGTTGCTTAGGACTTCATTAGTTCCCTGTCAGTCTGCAAACAGAACTGATTGCTCTGCCTATTTTTTATTCTTCTCCGAGTTAACTTTGTTCCGCTAATTCGTACTTGGGTCTCTTTGGAGAGGCTTCTGCAACAAAAATAACTTGGAGAAAAACAACCCTTCACTCCTTCTTCATACCATGTTGTGTAATATGGAACAATGTATGTCAACACTGTTTTCCAGCATCGATTATACTAGCTTAAAGGGATTGATATCTGACTCTGAAAAGGCAAATTTTGTGTATCTACAGTGATGTAAAGTTTGCAATTTATTGGATGCTTTTTTTCAAGAGGTCCTTTGGGTATCTAGCATGCAGGAATTGCTATCAAATGAATCCTTGAGTTGGAAGAGACCTCATGGGCCATCCAGTCCAACCCCATTCTGCCAAGAAGCAGGAAGATCTCAATCAAAGCACCCCCAACAGATGGCCATCTAGCCTCTGTTTAAAAGCCTCCAAAGAAGGAGCCTCCATCACACTCTGGAGCAGAGAGTTCCACTGCTGAACGGCTGTCACACTCAGGAAGTTCTTCCTAATGTTCAGGTGGAATCTCCTTCCTTTATTTAGTTTGAAGCCATTGTTCCATTGCATCCTAGTCTCCAGAGCAGCAGAAAACAAGCTTGCTCCCTCCTCCTTATGACTTCCCTGGATCTAGACACTATACTCCTATTGATGCAGGCCAAAATCCCATTGGCTTTTTTTGCCGCCACATCACATTGTTGGCTCATGTTTAACTTGCTGTCCACGAGGACTCCAAGATCTCTTTCACACGTCCTGCTCTCGAGCCATGCGTCCCCCATTCTGTATCTTTGCATTTCATTTTTTTCTGCCTAAGTGGAGTATCTTGCATTTGTCTCTGTTGAACTTCATTTTGCTAGTTTCAGTCCATCTCTCTAATCTGTTAAAATCATTTTGAATTCTGCTCCTGTCTTCTGGGGTATTGGCTATCCCTCCCAATAGGTCCGGTCTGCAAACTTGATGATCCTGCCTTCTAACCCTTCATCTAAGACATTATTAAGGATGTTGAACAAGACGGAACCCTGCTGATGGCACTCGACTTGTCACTTCTTTCCAAGATGAAGAGGAAGCATTGGTGACAAGCATTTAGCTGAGTGGGGGTGGGGTGGGGGGCTTGAGGGGCTTCACCCCCCTCCTGAAATTCTCAGGGTGGTCCGTGAGAAGGCCTTAAAGGTAAAGGTAGTCCCCTGACATTAAGTCCAGTCATATCTGACTCTGGGGTGTGGTGCTCGTCTCCATTTCTAAGCCGAAGAGCCAGCGTTGTCCGTAGACACCTCCAAGGTCATGTGGCCGGCATGACTGCATGGAGCGCCGTTACCTTCCCGCCGGAGCGGTACCTATTGATCTACTCACATTTGCATGTTTTCGAACTGCTAGGTTGGCAGAAGCTGCTGTTGACAGCAGAAGCTCACGCTGCTCCCTGGATTCGAACCTCCACCCCCGAAATTCTCATGGTGGTTCGCTAAAAGGCCTTACTGGTACATTATTTAAACTGTTATGTTTATTCATATCATGATCTGATCACCATGCTCAATATAACTCATATGCATGGGGGTATTGGGGTAACGATACAAAAGGTTTGCTAGGGTAGACCCTCTTTCACTCAGACTCAGCCCCCCCCCATCAAAATCCTGCTTGTGCAAGGAATATTAAGATGGCTACGGGCCTGATTGGTGAGCACACTTTGGGTTTGTTTGCTTAACCAATTACAAATCCACTTAACCGTAGTTTTGCCTAGCCCACATTGGACTAGTTTTTTTTTTGCCAGAAAGTCATGAGGGACCTTGTCAAAGGCCTTACAGAAATCCAAGTATGCTATATCCACAGCATTCACGGCAGTGTCTGTAAAAGCTTTCCAGAGAAATCTCCAAGAAGAATCTGGGATCCTGTTTGTAGAATTAAAAGTGCAATCCCAAGTTCCAGGAAAAGCAATGATCCTTTCCTATGTTGAGACTCCTTGAAGGAAATCATTTAAAGATACCAAAATCCAATTTGCAACAGTGCTTTTTCTCTTTAGACAGAACAGAACTGATTCCTTCAATGTTACTGCAAAGACTGAACAGAAAAAAAATCTGGAGCGAATAAAGCAGAATGGATTTGGATGCTGCATGAATGAAAGAGAGCCGGTAGATGGCATTCCAGAAGCATGAAGTCACATTTCCACTGGTTTCCCCCTCATTCCAGAGGGCACAGTTCATCTTCTCCATCACCCAGGGATTTCCTTGAACCGCTTTGTTTCCTGTTCACTCTTTCTACCTAATTTCAGTTATTCATGCCTGAAATGAGACACTTTTTCTTTGCATTGGCTTTGGAAACCACTGCTCTGTTAAGCAAAATGCCAGATGCTTTCAACTCTCTTGCAGAGATTCTAATTTTGCATCTGAGTGGAGAAGTGCTGAGGCTGAAGGTTTATTAGATGTTACAGATCTCAGTGGTGCAGTAGGTTAAACTGCTGAGCTGCTGAACTTGCTGACCAAAAGGACGCAGGTTTGAATCCAGAGAGTGGGGTGAGCTCCCACTGTTAGCCTCAGCTTCTGCCAATCTAGCAGTTCAAAAACATACAAATGTGAGTAGATCAATAGGTACCGTTCTGGCGGGAAGATAACGGCGCTCCATGCAGTCATGCTGGCCACATGACCTTGGAGGTGTCTACGGACAATGCCGGCTCTTTGGCTTAGAAATGGAGATGAGCACCAACTCCCAGAATTGAAGATCACTGGACATAATGTCAGGGGAAAAGCTTTATCTTTACTATGCAAGAAAAGGGATACCACTGTCTCCATACGCACAAGTAACCTTCTAGTGATGACTAGAAAGCATGCTGCACATGCCTAGAGCTGCCATAAGGAAAAGTTAGCTGCCTCTATGGACTGTTTGCAGATTGTTACCTAATTGCACTTTTGGGGGAGAAATAACAAACTTAATTTACTTTATTATGGTGCAACATCCAGCATAAAGAATTTTTTTTTAGGAAGCTTAAAATTGTATGGCACTTTGGTTGGCTGTAACAAAAATGTTGCCCCTTTTGTGTTTTTGTATATCAGCAACTCTCACACTCTATCTCAGGCATGGGCAAACTTTGGTGCTCCCTCCAGATGTTTTGGACTTCAACTCCCACAATTCCTAACAGCCTACCGGCTGTTAGGAATTGTGGGAGTTGGAGTCCAAAACATCTGGAGGGCCCAAGTTTGCCCATGCTTGCTCTATCTCCAGTTGTTTTGGACTTCAGTTCCCAGAAACCTCAGCTGTCTTGGCCAAAGTTTATGGATTCAGGGAGCTAAAGTCCAAAGCATCTACGAGGGTTGAATGAAAAGTAATGCCTCCACCTTTGTAACTCTTCAACAGATGGTAGTACTGGTATCCGTCAGGTATTG